AGAATGTCTGTGTAGAGTCGTAGAATGTCTGTGTAGAGTCGCAGAATGTCTGTGTAGAGTCGTAGAATGTCTGTATCATACAGAATGGACTGCGTAGAGTACATTGCACAGCCTCTGTTGTACATCGCACTACGGCAGCACAATATACCTCCTCAAATGCTCCGGCACTGCACCGAACAGCTTCTTCTCCTCGAGCCAACGTCTGCTAAACAGCCGGTCCGCATACCGATACGCACCATCACACAGCAGCGTCACCACCGTGTTCCCCGGACCCAGCATCTCCGCAACCTCCTTGGCAGCCACAACATTCAAACACGAACTCGCGCCCAGATACAGCCCCTCCTCGTCCAAACACCGGTACACCATCGCAATCGTCTTCTCGTCGCTGATGTGCACACTGCCATCCAACAACTCAATCTCCGGCGCAAGATTGTCCGTCACACGACCCTGCCCAATCCCCTCGGTGATGCTGCCCCCGGCGCGCTCCGCCAGCTTGCCGCCAGATTGAATGTAGCTGTGCAGCACCGACCCCGGCGGATCCGCGAGATACGCCTTGACCCTCCCCTGGCTGGCCTCCTTGAGGAACCTCGTCGTGCCCGCCAGACTACCGCCCGTGCCTGTGGCGCACGTAAACGCGTCGACGGTCCCGGCGGTCTGGTGCCAGATCTCCGGCCCCGTCGTCTCAAAGTGCGCGCGCGCGTTCGCCGTGTTGTCGAACTGGTTCGTCCAGACTGCGTTGTCGAGGCGCGCTGCGTGGCGCTGCGCTTGGTGGTTGTAGTTTTGCGGATCCGTGAGCGGGACCGCGGGGACGGGATACACTTCCGCGCCTAGCAGTCGTAGAAGGTCGATTTTGCCCTGCGACTGCGTGTCCGGCATGTAGATTACGAGCCTGTAGCCCTTTGCGCGACACACGTGCGCGAGGCCTATCCCCGTGTTTCCCGCTGTGCCCTCGACGACGGTCCCGCCTGGTTTCAGCAGGCCTTTTTGCTCGGCGTCTTCGACGACGAAGAGGGCCGCGCGGTCTTTGACGCTGCCGCCGGGGTTCTGGAATTCGGCCTTGCCTAGCACGTTGCAGCCTGTTTCCTCGGACAGCTTATTCAGCCGGATCAGCGGCGTCTTGCCAATCGCTGTCGTGCGGTTAGTATCGCATCACATCCACGCTCCACGGCTTCTGCCTCGACTCGGCGTACCATCGAGGAAACCCCGCTGCCCGATGCCCTGCGCTTGCGAGATGCCGATTGCCCTGGCGTCGCCGGAGACGGCGGCGCCGGAGCGCCGGCCGGAGGCGGCGAGCTGTCGCGCTGCTGTTCTGAGCATGCTGGTGTGGGTGAGGGCAGAGGCGCTGTGCTCGAGCGGACGGTCTTGAAAGGCGAGACATGGCGTCCGCGCTGACCGAGCTTCCTTGCGACGACCCGATGTCGCAATCCCGCGGACTTACCGGTACCGGTAGCGGCGCTAGCTAAGTTGGGGGACTGCACATTGCTCTTTACCACAACAGAAAGAGGAGGAACACGGCTTGTCGGTGAACAAATCTCCGCCAGATCAGCGTGCACGACACGCACCTGCTCTCGTAATCAATGCTCTAGCAAACAATTGAAGTCGATGGCGACTCTGGCCCGTTGTGCACCGCCTCTCACAGCGATATCAACCGCCTCGACGCCGTTCTGATATGCAGACAATGCGGACGATGCGGGACGATGCAGGACCCCAGGGCTCGACCCGTCGATGAACGGTAACGGTGCGAGTCTTTGTCAGAGCCTGGCTTGCATTGCGGCTGCTGTGTTGGCTGTGTTGGCTTACTGGAAGATTGCGATTCGATCACACTGTTTTGAGTGGATCCGCGACAATATCTGGCCCCCAGACCGGCGGCGGCAGGGATAAAAAATGCAACGAGATATTGACAGCGCGTTTAAGGCCCGCCGCCTGTGGCGCGTCTCTTCTGATATCCTCATGTGTCCGTTCCTGACATCGTCAAGTGTCTGTCGCATGAGTCTCGATTGACAAGTCGACCTGCCGTCTGAAAGAACTGACCCAGATGGCCAATCGTGTGCTGAGTCCTGCCAGGGACTCTGTATCAGCTTTCAGACGTACCCGCGTCGCCTATCTTCAAACACACGGCGCCGACTCCGTGGAACTCGCCCAGCTGAACACTGCGAGCACCGACAGCCCCTCGACTACTGATCCAAGACACTCCCCGACTCCATCCCCCACCCAATCGGCTCCTCACGCACGTGGGAAGTCAGGATGGATTCGCCGCTACAGGTCAAGTTTCACAGGTTGGAGGTTTGGCGCCCTGCACTTCGCAACGTGGGCTGCCATTGTCTTCTTGGTCAACTTGATCGGTACCATCTGGGGTGCAGTGTACCAGAGATCTGCAGGTAGTCTGAGTGAGGGAGATTGCGGGCGCATCAAGAACCTCGACCGCGGACTGCACATATTCATCAACGTTCTGAGCACTATCCTACTCAGCGGGAGTAACTACTGCATGCAATGCCTATCCGCTCCTACAAGAACGGATGTGGATCGAGCTCATGCGTCTCAGACTTGGCTTGACATCGGCATCCCAAGCATAAGGAATCTGAAGCACATCAGTCGGCCCAGGCTGTGGCTGTGGCTGGGGCTCGGGCTGAGCTCCGTACCTCTACATCTTCTGTAAGTGTCTCAGATTGCTCACAACGAGTCCGCTGACATCAACTGTAGCTACAACTCAGCTGTCTATTCATCTACGTCCACGAACAGCTATGCGTTTTTCCTGGTCAACGAAGCCTTCCTGGACGCCTCGGAGTGTCACAACTGTACATGGTACTACTCAGCCTCCTCCTACTACAACTCACACGAAACCCGGTTAGTCACCCTCGAGACGTTGTGGAGTCAGTCACGGAACGGCTCGCTTGACAGGTTGGAGCCTGCGCAGTGTCTAACCGACTATGCGAAAACACTGCAATCGAACCGACGCAATCTCCTGCTGGTCATGGACAATGCACAGGCCAGCGCAAGTCCTCGCAACTCGAACCTGAGCTACACCAACAATCCTGACACATTCTTGTATGGTAACTTTTTCGCAACAGACGGTGCGTTGCCAGTCTTCGCCCCTGACTCGTATTCCTGGATATGTTCAGGGCTCGACAACGACACGAACACGCCATGTGCCAACAGACTTGGCCAGATCTCACCGGATACATGGACAGTGGGCGGCTATGATTACGGAAGGAAGTATGCGTGGCCAGTCAAGTATTGCCTCAGTGAACCAGCCGTGTCACGTTGCAGGCTGCAGTTCACTCCTACCATCGCCGCAATCGTTACTGTCCTCAATCTCTGTGAGTGCATGGCCTGCGCGCATGGCAATCAATGCCGATCGGCGCATCAATCGTTGGAATTCTGCTGATAAACCCGCAGTCAAGGCTCTCTTGATGTGGTTCGTGATATACTCTACAAAAGAGGATCCTCTTTTGACCATGGGCGATGCGGTCGCGTCTTTCCTCGATGAAAGGGATCCTACGACGGTCCGTTCGAGCTTGATAAGCTTGCACGACTGCAAAGCAGATTACGATGCCGGCGCAAAGCCATGGCGAGACCAGCGCACACGATGGAAGGACACGACTAGCAGGCTGCGTCGCGGAGTGACACTCGGATTGTAACACGTCCTTTCCTGTAAACATGTTGTACCAGAACTGACGAGCTCTTAGATTCGCGACCGCTTTGCTGGTCATCATCAACCTCCTCGTCTGGGGAACCAAAGCGATTGCCAGGAACGCATCGATCGGTCCCAACGCCATCTTCGCTCTTGGCTTTGGCACAATCGACACACGAGCGCTGATTTACGGCGACTTCCCCACGGACATGATTAGCCTAGTGCTGATAGCCAACTTGCCTCAGGTCATCCTGTCGTTCTTGTACTTTGCGTACAACGGCACCTTCACCGCCATGTTGCTGGGCTACGAGTGGACGTCCTATGCGTACAAGCGCAAAGGCCTCCGCGTCTCACACGTGCCCTCCGGCTTGCAAAGGTCGACGTACTTTCTACAACTACCGTACCGGTTCGGAATTCCACTCGTCGTTCTGAGTGGAACATTGCACTGGCTGGTCTCGCAGAGCATCTTCGTCGTGGCCCTGGATCAGTACGACCGAACTGGTGTATATAATGATTCAAGAATATCGTGTGGGTACTCGCCGGTTGCAATGCTGGTTGTTGTCGTGCTGGGAATCTTCATGGTAGCAACAGTGGTCGGCTTTGGTTACATACCATACAGGAGCGGCATGCCTCTTGCAGGGAGCTGCAGTTTGGCCATAAGCGCAGCATGCCATCCGGACGAAGATACAAAAGGCGAGTCTACCACAACGTCCGAGGAGAAGCTGCAATGGGGCGTTGCCAGCACAAGCACGGATGGCATCGGGCACTGTGCTTTCTCCAGCAGGGAAGTTGGGCCGCTGGTAGAGGGCCGTATGTACGCCTGAACGAGACACTCGGACGACAAGAAATATCACAACTCATAGGACGATGCAGCTACCTACCGCAGCCATCAATGGTCCGATGCCCGAGAACAACAAAGGGTCTCATTGGTGGAATCCAGAACCCTGTCGCTACTGTCTTGGCTCGTGAGGCTTGCCTTCCTGTGTGCGGAGAAGACCCACCCGCGGGAACTACAAACTCTCTCGAAAAGGCATCTGTCGAGCATTGAGGCAGAATGGCGGAAACAGATTACCGGTTCGATATGACGTACGAGTGCAAATAAAGATGAGAGTGGCCTCGGGGCAGAGCGGATGAGATCTTGTCACGCAAAACACCATGCTTCTCTTCCACTCCTTCCTCGTAGCCCTCATAGCTGTCGCCAACGCCTCGAGTGTGAGCAAGGCCCCACAACGCCCTCAGTTGCAAGCCACTCCGCTGCAGCCGTACAAAGCCTTCCCTGCCTCCCCTCCACGCACAAAGACTTGCTTCGTCAAGCCAGCCAAGAAAGGAGGAGACGATGCCAAAAACATCCTCGAAGCCTTCAGAAAATGCAACAACGGCGGCACCATCGTCCTGGACAAGGAGTACACTATCTGCTCCCCGCTTGATCTCCGCTTCCTGAAGCACGTAGATGTGGCGCTGACCGGCACCGTCAAGTTCTGCGACGATGTGACTCGCTGGCTGCCCCTCACATTCCAGTTTCCGTTCCAAGAAGGCTCGTCGTGGTGGCTGTGGGGCGGCAAAGATATCAACCTGTACGGCCTTGGTGTGGGTACCATCGATGGCAACGGACAGGCATGGTGGGATGCTAATGCCGCCAATTCCACGGTGAAGCGGCCTTTGCTCTTTGTCACCGATGGCTGGGAGGGTGGATCGATTACGGGCTTGAAGATGCGACAGTCTCCAAACGTGCGTTGAAGTGCAGTCTGATGGAGGTGGTCCGCGTACTAACAATCCCTAGTGGCACAATCTCATCGCGAACAGCTCCGGCATGCTGATCAGCGATATCGACATCTATTCGCGATCGACGTCGAACAACTTCGCTAAGAACCTGGACGGGTGGGACACATACCGCAGCGACAGTAAGTCAATTCCCTCGCGCCTTCTTCCCCACTGACATCCGCGCCCAGATCTCGTGATCCAAAACAGCTACATCGACCACGACGACGACTGTGTATCCTTCAAGCCCAACAGCACCAACATCATCGTGCAAGGGCTGGTCTGCAACTCATCGCACGGCATCTCCGTAGGCTCGCTGGGCCAGTACCCCGGCGTCTTCGACGTCGTCGAGAACTTGTACATCTTCAACATCTCCATGAGCAACGCGACCGACGGCGCGCGCCTGAAGGTGTGGCCCGGCGCCGACGTCGAGAAGCCCGTGGGCTGGGTCGGCGGCGGCGGTGCGGGACGAGTGCGCAACGTGACGTACGAGCGCTTCTTCAACGACAACAATGACGGCGCGATTAAGATCGACCAGTGCTACGGCGCTGTCAGCGCGGCTGAGTGCGCCGCGGACCCGAGCCTGGTCATCTTGACGGATATTGTGTTCAAGGACTTCTGGGGCACTACGAGCACGAAGCTGGATCCGGTTGTGGGGTCGCTGATCTGCAGTTCGGAGGATGTGAGTCTTCTTTGTCCCCCCGTCGTGGTGCTTCTCAACTGACTTGTCTCGTCTAGTCTTGCAGCAATATTCGAGCCGTGAACGTGACGGTGCAGGCCCCGAGCGGGAAGAGTCCTCGATGGTCGTGTCGCAACATGGACAAGGCGCTGCTCGATCTGAGCGGGGTCGGGTGCGTCGACGCATGAGGCTAATGCGCATGCAGCGTGATGGTCGTGGTCACGGGATCGATGCGCGTCTATATAGCTAAGAACAAGCATCTTCCGGGCTGTGGCCAACGGGTCCTTTGAATTCACATTCTGACAGTAGAGCAATTTTTCTTCTCGACGAAACGAGACCCCCCCATCGTTGTTCCCGATGACCGTGATTGAAGCAGGCATAATCGAGACCTGCTGCACGGTATTCAGATGCAGTGAAGCGTTTCCGCAATCCTGCAGAAGCGCAGGCCTTGATGCGACAGCTTGACTGTGGAAGCCCATGATAATACCGTATGGCATGTATCGCTATACATGACTTCGACCTGCTGCTCCCGCCTCCTGGCAGATTGCCCTTTCAGGTTCCCGAGGACCACGCACGCGAGCAGGATGGCGAGAAGGTCGCTTTCATCGAAGAGTCGGCGCAGCATGCACGTCCAGGGGCTCGCGAGCAGTGCACAGAGAGTGCTCGATGCCCAGAAACCCGTCAGCGATTCCGCCACATCCCATCGCGCCTCTGGTAGAATGTATCATCGGTCGGCACAAGATAGGCTGGTGGAGACGCCTCAGGTGGGTGAAAAACCGGTGAATTCGTGAAGCCGCAAGGCATAGGCTTCTATGAACCCCAAGACGCCATGGCGCTCGCATTCGTATCGTAAACAACGCTCCATCATGACCAATCCAACAGCGCCTCCCATCCGACCTGCGCAGGTCCCTAGGCCCCTGCTCTGAACACCACGCTGCCGCCGTGGCGCATCCTGATCGTCTCCCGGGCCGCCATGACGTGTAGCGCTCGCGCGAGCGCTTGCTCCGAGTAGCCCTTGCCATCGACAAACTCGCGCTTGAGCGAAGACAGATTGACCTGCCACCCGATGGGCATGCGTCGCCTCAGCTCCTCCTCGACGCGGTTCGTCTCGTCCATCAGCTCCTTTGAGCTCTGGCCCTCGCCCTGCGTGACCGCGTCCATGGTCGACGCGAGGAAGAGGCGAATCGCCTCGTCGACATGGGATTCGTCTGCGATGGGCGATAGGCTCAGCTTGGCCAGTGATTCGGTGATGCGGATGATGGCTTCCAGCTGGCGGACGGTGATGGGGATGCTGCTGCGCTGGTTCGCGTTCATCTCCGAGGCGTGCACCTGGCGTCTGATGCTGACGAAGTGCGAGCTGAGTTTCTCAGCGGCCTCAGGCGAGAGCCGCGGCGCGCACTTTTGCCGGCAGTATGTGATGTAGCGCTTCATCTTCTCGATGGGGATCTCGGCCTGGATCTGCTCCTCGACGCCGCGCCCGCCCATCGCAATACCCATGACGTGCTTTGCGATGCGCTCGTCGCGTCCGCGGTCGTGTTCGTCGCGGACGATGAAGATCATGTCGAAACGCGAGAGGATGGTGGTTTGGAAGTCGATGTTTTCGCCGGGCGTCTTCATGTCATCGTAGCGCCCGAAGATGGGGTTGGCGGCTGCGAGGACTGATGTTCGGGAGTTCAGGATGGTTGTGATGCCGGCTTTGGCGATGGATATGGTTTGCTGCTCCATGGCTTCGTGGATCGCTACTCGGTCTTCGTCCCTCATCTTGTCGAACTCGTCGATACACACGACACCGCCGTCTGCTAGTACCATGGCACCGCCCTCAAGATAGAACTCTCGTGTCGTGTGGTCGCGCTGGACCGACGCCGTCAGACCTGCTGCGGACGAACCCTTTCCAGATGTGTAGATGGCGATTGGTGAGACCTTCTCAACGAACTTCAGTAGTTGAGACTTGGCTGTACCCGGATCACCCAAGAGCAGTACGTTGATGTCGCCACGGAGCTTCATGCCATCTGGCAGGATCTTCTTGGAGCCTCCCATCAGCAAGCAGGCAATAGCCTTCTTGATATCTTCGTTTCCGTAGATGGAGGGCGCGATGCACTTGGCGAAGACGGAATAAATGTCCGGTCTTCTGCTCATCTCCAAGAACTCCTGCTCCTCCTCTTCTGTGAAGACGGCGTTTCCTTTGTTTGTGTGGTCGACGTCTGTGTGCAGACCGACTGCGCGAATGTACGGGTTGCGGATGGCGACTGCGGCGCTGGACGACTTCTTCGAGCCCTTTTGCTGGTAGATGGAAAAGATACCCATGACTGTGCACCGGGTACCAGGGACGACACGGTTGGCGAGGTATCGATCCGCCGAAATCATGATGTGTCGAGGCAGCTCTCCCACGGGTACCTGATCTGGCGCCTCTTGCAGCTTGAGCACCTGCTGGTCGATGAAGTGACAACGCTCGTGCATAACGTAGTATGGATCCAAGGGGCACTTGTCCTCGCCATCAGCTGCTTTCCGCGCGCATGTGCGTGGCAGCGAAACACCCGCGAAACCGCCTGCCACAGGGAGCATCTCCTCATGCTGGCAATTCCGGCAGCGGATGGCCAGCACTGTGGATTTCGAGGAGAGCGTGGAGGCGCCAATGACGATGCCGGGTATGCGCACGAGGTGGGAGACGTTGTTGGCTGTGAGGTCGCGGATGGACAGCTCCGAGGCCGACGAGTGCAGCAGCAGCTGGTGCTCGGGAAGCTTGATGGTCCTCTGTGAGGGGTAGACAATGCGTTGTGCACATGTCTTCAGCGCTGCTTCGAACTATCTGGCGTTAGCTCGCACACTGCACGAGTTCTGCGGGTACGCTCACCAGAGGGACGACCTCGGCGGGGTCTTGCTGGAGCCTGTGCGCAAGCTCTTCGTCGTACGAGATCAAGTGCGCAATGTCGATGTCGCAGTAGTACTGTTTTATGAGTACGTTCTCGCGAATCTGGTCTCGGTACAGGAAGACATTGTCGAGGTGAAAGTCCATGATGAAGTCGACCAGCTGCTGCTGGACGCGCGACGGCGTGGTGCCATCCTGGCGTTCGTCGCCCGCCTGGCTGCCAAAGATGCTGATTGAGTATGCGCTTTGCCTGTCCGCCATGCTGTGTGCTGCTGTGTGTGAGGGGTCGAGCGGTGGGAAAAGTGGGCGGTGGATGCGCGTCTCCCCGGCGACGCACGCGTTCCGTGTCGCGCCAGGAACCAATTAAGTCTCGATTGGGTTAGACTTTCTGCGCGTCGAGTCCTTCTCCGTGCTCTGATACCGAACAGTGGCAAAGCAGTATCACCAAGTTTTCTCGCGTATACATATCGAGACATCACCATGCTCACTGTGGAGTTAACATCCCGGAGTTCCAAAATCCACAACCCGTCATCCAAGAGAGCGACGATGTGTGCGCATCCATACTACCAAGTCTATCACACGACCCGCGGCGTCCTAGGATCCGCCGGCAGCTCCCAGACCGGCTGGCCTCGCGACGGTAGCTCATGCGGCTGAGTATAAACCTCCGCTGGTTGCGTCCACACCTCCACTGGCTGCTTTGCAGTACCATGGAGCTCGCTGACGCCTGGTCCTTCAATCATGCCATGTCTCTTTGTACGCCTGCGTCTCCAGACAAACAAGAGCACTACAGTAACGAGAATAATCAGCCCTATTGCTCCGCCCACGCCTGCTCCAATCCCAATCGCCGTCCCATTCGTTTCACGCGGCTGCGCAGTCGTCGTTGGCGCTGCCAGCGACGCCGTAGTGGATGCAGCCTCTGCGGAACTGGAAGGCGTCGCCGTTGGCCCAGAAGTGGATGAATCCGCGCTTGTAATCAACGAACCCGCGCTTGTAATCAACAACGACGTTGACGTCGTGCTGGCGCTCGTGCTCGCGCCCACCGCTGCGCCCTGCAGCGTGAAGACCGCCTCCTGCGTGCTACAGCACCGCTGTCTCTCCGCCTCGCTCTCGCAGCAGTACTTGGCCTCCTCTGCATAACCCTGACTTCCGCACTGCCACACCTGCACGCCATTCGTTCTGAAGTCGTACGCGCTCGAGTTCTTCGGCGTGTCTTGGTTCAACTGGCATTGCTGCGGACACAAGGAAGACGCCCACGTTTTATCTGTGCACGTACCGCGCGCGTAGTTGATGCCCGTGTCGTTCGACGCTTCGAGGATGCACAGCCCGTTTGTGAGACAGGCAGAGCGAGAGCCGCAGCATTGTGTGAAGAGCGCATCGGGGTCGCAGGGTTCGTCAGTGCTGGCGAGGCCGTTCGGGAAGTAGCATGTGTTTGCGGCGAGAGCCGAGTGGGCTGCTAGGGCGATGAGGATGAGACGCCAGAGTAGAGGCATGTTGAATCGTCGACAGGACACGAAAGTAATGCGGTAGAAGGACATTTACGAGAGAAAAGATTAGCAGCAACGCGGTCAGAGCATGAGGAGACTTGGGCGCGTTGCCAGCAGGACCGCTGCAAGAGTGCGGCACGGCGTCGATATGGTCTTTAGCCAGCCTATGTTCAGCCGCAGGGCGGCAGAGTAGCATGGATCCGCATCTTGATCTCGAGTTGCTGTCTCAGCACAGCGAATAAGGTATTGTAGCAGTAGCGCGCGGCTTCCGAATCTGTCAAGGTTGATAGGATCCTTGTCGGTCATGAACATCGTGATTGGCAGATGGGATGGTACCCTAGCCGCAATAGTGAAAGAGACACAGTGGTATCTGCAGATGCAGATATCTTGTTTCAGCCTTGCTTATGGGACATGCTGAGCATGTGATGGCAAAGCTCGCACAAGAGTCCCTATCTTCCGTTTTAAAGCAATTTTGCACTCGTTGTTCTTACGCTTGCGCTCGTGCCCCGTGCTAAATTTTCGCGTCTAGTCAAGCGTTCCTTTCACCACTCTCGACTACTTCCAGCATTTTTGTCGATGTTTGATCACGGTCAAAACCATAGCGAGAATGTGCTGATAGATTCTCTCTCGTTCGCTCATGCACAAAGCCAACAGCACCTCTAGGCCTTGCCACCCTGCGACCACATGAAGTTGTCCACCGGAGCTTCAGCCTTAACGCTCTCCCACAATTGATCGATGCTCTTCAACGCCTCCGCACTCAACTTTCCCTTCTTAATACCTCCTGCAGTCTGTTCAATCTGGCTGAGCTTGCTCGCACCAAAGATAACACCATCACCTTCTTCTGTCAGCGCAGAGTGATGCGCAACCCACCTATACGCCAACTCTGCCTTGTTCACGCCCTCCTTCTCGGCAATCTGGTCCCACGTTTTGAGGCCCTCGCGCAGAGACGGCTTGTCGTACATCCCGCTGTACATCCCGCCCAGCGCTTCCTTGCTAAAGCGGCCAGCACCCGCATCAAGATCAGCAGCAGTCTTGGTCAGGAAACCGCCCGCGAGCGGTGAGTAGGCGTAGAAGACCATGTTGAGCTTGCGCAAAAGAGGGAAGAGATCCTTCTCCAAGTGCCGCGCGACGGGGTTGTAATTGCCCTCATAGACTTCAGGGAGCGGGTAGCCCTTCTCCTTGGCGAGGTCGTGGACGCGCTGGACGTCTTGCGGTGCGTAGTTGGAGAGGCCGAAGCGCTTGAAGATGCCCAGCTTGTGGGCTTCGTTGATACCGGCCAGGGTGTCGTCGAGAGGGATGTTTGAATCGGGAGAGTGGATGTATAGGATGTCGAACTGCTTGATGTTCACCTTCTCAAGGGCCTCCTTTGCGTGCGCGACGATGATGTCCTTGTGCGCTGTGCCAGGTGCGAAGCCACCGGGGACTTTTGTGTCAATGGTGAACTGCGTACGCTTCTCTTGCTTGCCAATCTGCTCTTCTGATCCAGGATATATGCGCGCTGTGTCAATTGTGGTGACGCCTGCTGCAAGCAGAGCATCCATAGCCTCGGCGATCTGCTCGGGCGTCTGGAAGCTGCCTAGGGCACCTTGCCTCGTGAAGGCGCCGCCTCCGAATACTGTCTTTACCATGTTGTGCTGAGAGAGTGGTGTCCGGCGGGAGATTATGAACTCGATTACGATGAGATGTAAATTGGTGTTCAGTGAATTGGTGGGTCGTATTTGTGTAGGTGTAGTGACGCCACAACAGCAGCGTAGGGCCTTCCATACCGGTACTTATACATGGCCATGATGCGCGCCTGCCCCTCATGGCGTCAATTGCGCCTTGCCCCGCCGGTCCATCGATCACTCAGGCTCTTCACCCATAGAGCGCGGTAGAAAATGCTGCTGCAATGCTGTGACGGACAGCCCCAATTGGTCCCTGGAAACGTCACCACACAGGCCGAGGTGTGGTGTTCGTCCGCTAAGTCCGGGCGAACAATCGGCCCTTTGACAAGGCGACCATCACCAGTGCAATTACATAATTGGCATGCTTTTGCGCATGGGCCCCGCAGTGTAATCAAATTCGATGTCATAAGCCGCAAAATTGCCAGCACTCGCTAGCTCTGAGATTGGCCGCTTGGAGAGTTGCAGGCCATTTGTTCAATAGAGAGGGACTGGCTTGCAACACGGACGAGACGTACAATTAGGTACATCTTCTGTCGATAAAGTTAGCACCACAATGGTAGTTGCTATGATCTAATTCTTCCACTGTGCCGTCTTCCTAATTCTTATAATCCGTGTCCAGCATGAACTTCTCAGTTACCCCATTCTGATATCGACGTACCTATGAAAATCAGGGTTTGTGTTCCCAGCTCGTTTCGTCTCATATCCTCAACTGCCCACGACCATCTTCGCTGTATAACGTGTGCTTAGGTATAAGTCATTGGTCATACAAAGAGCATCGATCCCAACGAGGAAGCTTCTTCGTCACCCAATCAATATAACGCGCAATATACGATTCCTGTAATGGGGCCAAAATGGTATCAGGCCTAGATTGTCGACTGACGTTTCCGGGCGTATCACGTGCAATGACAAGCCCTTGGACTGCGCAGTTGTGTGGAGTAGTCCTTATGTCTCGATTGATTTCAGGCTTTCGGCGTAGGAGGATGTGTCCTGTTGTAAAGAGCATAGTCAACACCGCCCACCCATTTGTTTGGAAGGCGCGCTCGACCACTTCAGCCTTGACTTGCAAGACATGCTCGTAGGAAAAGGATCCGCTCATCATTATTGTTTATGTTCCCAGGTCTCCCTAGCACATACCGCTCAGAACAGCCATGCCAGCGACATAATCGAGTCCCTCGACTTCTTCCTCTTCCAACAGCTTATCAATGACGCTCTTCTTCTTAATCCGCCAGAACGCCTGCGCACCATCCGCAAATCTCTTGCTAATAGGCTTCACATCTTCGGCGGGACACGCTGCGAAACACAGCCTCATGCAGTTGTACGCGTCCTTTTCCCTGATTTCTTGTGTCGGCGCAAACATAGATCCAGGCGCAACGAGACACATGTAAGGCTTCTGTGTCCAGAACACCCACAGCGCCTGACTGAGTCGTGCGTGCGGAACCTCGTCTGCCAGCGGGTGCGTGGCGAAGTCGAAGCGCACCCACACGAACATGCCGCCCAGCGGGCGCACGAACGAGTAGATCTGCGCCTTCTCGACAACAGCCCACTCATCGTCGCTGTCAGCGACAAAGGAGAGTGAGCGTCGGCGCCCAGACTTGACGATTTCGCGCCCCGTGTCCAGCGCATCGCACATAGTCTGCATCCGGCGCTCGTAATTACCCCTCAGGCCCTCGAGCCAGCGTACCCAGCCGTCGACTTTCCAGCCTGAGCCATCTGCGGCGCCGCCACGCCCGGGGTCGTTGCTGTTGTTAGGTCCCATGAGCATTTCAGCGATCATGGACTGCACGAAGCCAGAGGGTTGCTGCGTCGAGGTCTCGGTAATGCGCAAGATGCGCTCGGCGAGCGCGGGCTGCGTTGTGACCCAACCCAGTCTGCAGCCCGGCGCGACGGTTTTGGAGAAGGTGTCCAGACGCACGACACGACCTTGGTAGTCGATACTCAGGTAGGATGGGATGAGCGAGTCAAGGAACTCGAAGCCGGAGGTTTTCCGGGGCTTGACCGATGCAACGTGGGGTGAGGACGAGGGGAATTGTAGGTACCAGTACGGATCGTCTTCAATGATAACGATGTCGTACTTGACGCAGACGGCATAGATTTCGGTCCTGCGCGCGACACTTAGGGTGCCGGATGTGGGGTTCTGGCCAATGGTGACGGTGTACATGAGGTGTGGGCGACGACCCTCGGAGAAGTCCCAGTTCTCCATGACGTCCTCGAGACCACCGGGTCCCTTGGCTAGCATGCCTTCGTCATCAATCTTCACGGGCACAATGTTCAGACCCCGCGGCCTGGCTGTCTGGATGGCGTTCATGTATGCATACTCCTCGCACAGCAGACCAGGGCGCTCGTTGACAGGGTCGCGGTCGATGAACCATTCTTCGCTGAGGGCCTGGATAGTCTTTGAGAAGCCGTCTGTGGAGCCGCAGGTGAGGATGACCTCAGGGCCATTTTTGTATGGCACGAAAGGGTGCAGGTTCTCGCGGGTGAATTGGCGGATGAAGTAATACAGCGGCGGGTAGCCTTGTGCCTGGCCGTACTGTAGCGCGGACATCAAATCGATCTTGTGTAAAGGATCACGTGTGTGCGAGTCGTGCGGCACAAGTAGATGTGCTGCTGGGAGCTCGTCATGCTTGCCCTTGCCCTTGTCCTTGCCCTTCTCGATATTCAGCTCCTCAAGACGTGCAGTCGGCGGATCGTCGACGGGCGGGTCGACAGGCTTGTTGGGCGTGGGCTTCCATCGGTTCGGATGCGAGACTTTGGCTTCGAGGGTGTCATAGGGGAAGTACTTGTCGTTTGGTAGCCCTGACGGCTGTCAGCTATGGAACACGGTGACCAAATTGGCACCCACCTCCTGCTAATTGGGCGATGCCCGGAATGGCGAAGTACTTGTAGAATCGCTTGACACTCGACGCCTCGCGAGCCTTTGTGCCACGCGACAAGTGGTGCGAGAGATCGATAGGCTCAGGGAAGCTTGATGGGTCGGACGTATAGTAGGCCATGGCGGCAAAGCTATGGCAGAGCAAACAAACAGAGATGCGCAGCTGGGAGAAATAAGATTGCTTGAAGTTATTCACAGCAACCAGTGTCTCATTACAACAGATCCGAACGCCTCCAGTAAAGAATTGACCTCGTCCGCAACCGTTGTCCGTGACCGTTAGCCGCGGACGATAAGGCGTGCTGATTAGAAAGCACGCTTCAGGTCGAATCGTGACGACATGCCCGGGAAGGTGCCATACCGGTAACGACATGCTGCTAGCCCACATCAAGCCGCTCCCGCGCATCAGCTCGAAGGAGGAGCTGCATCAACATGACAGTAGGCAGCGCCGTGATGACTGACTACAAGACTTCAGAAACTGTCCCCTCCACCGTGTTGACGCATTCTGGACACTCGGCACCTGTAAGGCTGAGTTAGCGCGACCTGGAGCCGGCAACGTGCGATGCCGACTGGGCTAACTGCAAGCAAGTGAGCCTCAAGCTTCCGAAGTTCCCAGAGCTCTCCCTTCCTGGACACCTGCATCTCTAGACGTCCTTTGAGCTTCCTGCATACCTTTGGGTCCTTTGTCGCATTTTTTTGCATCTCCAATATCGTCTATTGAGTAGCATTACAGCTCACTGCATCATTGCGGACTTCCTATCGATAAGCCACACTGCGATCCAAGTTGTCGTCCCCGACCTCCCGCCACGAGCTCCGGTCGCTCTTAGACATGAGCTCTGAGCGCCATGTCGGCGACGAGGGTGAGCCGCCGCAGGCCTACCGCGATGACGAGCTGATTAGCATTGATCCGGAGGAGGCTGTAATCGTTGACCCAGCCGAGACTTCCGATGAGGAAGTGTACCCTCTACAGGAGCCCTTTTTTGCAAGCAAATATGTACCACCACGGTTGCAGCGTACTTGGATATCCGCAAAAGCCTGGGCCAAAGGACCGCAACCTCCACGACTATGGAAGATCCTTCCGTTGCTACCTAAGATCCAGACCGTGCCCATTCGGCTTTTAAACACGTTGTTGCCAAAGAGGAAGCATAAGATTGGATTACTGATTGTATTCTATGCTGCCTGGATCCTCAGCTTTGCACTCGTCCTACACAAAAGTGCCTTTTCAGCCGACGTACCTGGCTACGGAGCGCCAGTGAGAATCGGCTGCACGCAACGCTTCTGGAACGATGGCAATGGATGCGGCCTTAACGGGGACTCATGCCGCCCTTTTGAGAATGCTTCGATGCCGTTCAGATGCCCGGCGAACTGCAGGCGCGTGCAACTCCTCAATCCCCATGCCGTGGGCGACTACGTCGCCAACTACCGTCCATTGGTCATTGGCGGCCCAACAGACGACAAGAGGACATTGGAAAATGCTGTCTACCGTGCCGACTCTTTCATCTGCGGCGCTGCGATCCACGCCGGTTTTATCAGCGACAAATCCGGCGGGTGCGGCGTGGTCTCCATGGTGGGCGAGAAGACCTCCTACCCAGCCGTGAACCAGAACCACATCAAGTCCATCGGCTTCAATTCCTACTTCCCGAAATCATTCTCCTTCCTCACTGGTACAAGCGCTTCATGTCGCGACCTCCGCTGGTCGCTGCTCGGCGTAAGCCTAACCTTCACAATCCTCCTCTCCCTCTTCACCACCTCACCTGCCGTATTCTTTTCCTCCATTTTCCTTGGCGTGTTCTTCCACGTAGCGCTCGCATCCGACCCGCCCTCGCTCACAGACTACTACGCCCTAATCTCGATCTGCCTGGGCCGCCTGCTCCCCGCCTCGTTTTGCATGTACGCCGTCTACCGCTTCGCCGTCTCGCGCACCCTCCACGGCCTGGACGCGCAGATCGAGAAGACCGTCCTCTGGCTCGGCGGTGCCTGGGTGGGAGCATTGAACAACTACACATTCGACAAGATCCCCCTCGAGCGACTGACACCGCACGATCTGCAGAACCAACCCGGTGCGATTCCCGCATTGATAACAGTAGTCCTGTGTCTTTTCAGTATCGCGCTGTTGCAGGCATGGTGTCTGCGCATCGAAGGCCGGCTGCCGAGATACCTGGGAATTTATGGGCTTTTTGTGGGTGGATTGTTGCTGCTTGTTGCAGTGCCGAAGATGAACCTCAGGATCCATCACTATATCCTGGGCTTACTCTTGGTGCCAGGGACAAGCATGCAGACACGCCCGAGTCTGCTTTTCCAGGGGATACTGGTAGGGCTGTTCATCAACGGCGTAGCGCGCTGGGGATTCGACAGCATTCTGCAGACGCCGGGCGAGTTGAGAGGTGATGGGCCGATTAGTAGTCTCCTCCCTATCATCACGGCGCCGATCATACATAACAACTTCGCCTCGCACCTCCGACCGAATATCACTTTCGAATGGTCACTGCCGTTCCCCAAGCACTACGACGGCTTGAGTATCTTAGTGAACGACGTTGAGCGCTATCGCGGGTACGCAGATAACAGGCTGGAGAGCTGGACGTGGGTTAAGCATATTCGGGATGCGCCTGAGTACTTCCGCTTCGCATACCTCAATGGTGGCGGCCGAGGGGATTACACCAAAGCAGGCACCTGGAGCGTGGAGGGTGGGTGGACGGACATGGCTGGTGGACCGTCGTAGAAAGCATAACGTAGAGGCAAAGCAAAGACTACGTGCGAGGATTGTGGAGTTCTGCACATCGTGCTGAGCTGCGTCGACCTCACTTGAAGTGTCAGTGGCTTGCACAGCCACCGCTAGTCCAAGGCTTGTGAGGGCGACTTCAAGTTTTAGAATCACTCGAACACCTTTCTCACTCCACAGCGTCTTCCTCCAAACTGACGCCAATTGTACCTCTAGGATCTATACGTGCGATGGTAATAAGATTCGAAACGGACGTACGTCCCACCTTGGGCCCCGGACTCAATACTACTGCACTGTTCGGACCGCAGATATCGCATATACTCTGAGCTTGCGCTGATGCCCTGATGTAAAGATCTTTCCAGGCTACACCAAATCCTACAGCGATCAGCTCGTGGAGATTGTTCACAAATACACATCAGCAGACTGGTGGGAGGCTGAGCAAACTATCGCAAGACTTTGCCATCATGCTTGCGCTAGATGGCGAAGAAGCAACGCACACCGACTATCGGGACAGTGTCAAAGCGTTGCCAGAACGCGTGAGTGAAATAAGGGGAAGGGGTTTATTGAACATGAGAGCACTAGTAATAGGGGTCCCCATTGATACAGAGGCGAAATCCCGTCGTTTTGAACAGTTTCAGAACGCACACGATGGAGCATGACTGCCACGGGCATTCCCACCGCATTTAACATGCTCTACTTCTTGATCCCAACTACGACCAGGTTCCGCGGACTGTGCTTGTACTCAAACACCGGCTCCACCCACGCATGCTCAACCTCACTCTGCTCTTTAAGCCACAGCCACCGATCCACCACGATCACAGCCTCAACAACCCCTGCGCTGAACGCCATCAAGCTCCACATGACACTGAGCTCCTTCTTCCTCTCCTTATACGCCTCTTCGTAACCGCGAATGTCATCGTCCGTCAAGCCCTCCATCCTATTCCTGATGAACGCCGGATCCACAGCACAAAACGAGTTCGGCGTAACAAGCTTCTGTTCCGCGGCGCGAACATAGCTCACGAAATCCGCATACGCAAACTTCCTCAACGTGCCAATCGTCAGCGGCGTGCTGGTTCCATCGCTACTCAGTCCAGGTCCGCGGCCGCCCGGCGGCGTCCAGTTCACGTGGCTCGTGTGTCCATTTGCGCTCACGGCGTCGGGGAAGTTCGACGCGTCGACAGGCGCGGACACGATTCCGCGGTCGAGGAATATTCGCTGCAGTAGCGCGCGGTAGAAGTGCCGGTTGAAGAATACCTCGCTGTCGGACGTGCCCCAATTGAAGGGCGCTTGCACGGCCATCATGCGCGCTGTGATGTTGAGTCTCAGCCCTTTGGCGCCCGAAGGCTCGAATGATACGTCGGGGGATGAGGCGTTGACGGTTGGCGGCGCGGGGATGGGGTGGTGTGCGAGTTTTTCACTCATTGGGAAGCCTTGGGGGTCGAATGCGTTGGCCGTTGCTTCGAGACGGGGATGGTTGGGGCGGAGCGTGGGGAGCTTGTAGGTCGGGGGACCGAGACGTTCGGTCACTAGGTTGTAGCAGCAGCCTACCATTGCGACGGCGGAGATTTCGGGGCTGAGGAGCAGAGAGCGGAGACCGTAGTGGACGAGGTTACCGCAGGAGTGGAGAGACATAACCATGGCGTTGACCTTCTGAGACTTGGGGGGGACTGTGGGGTCTGATGGCACTTCGGTGGTTGTGGAGATCGTCTTGACTTTGTCTTCTGGAATGTGCGAGGGGTCAAGGACTTGGTCTATGACGGGGCGTAGGTCGCCGTCTTTGATAATATGCTCCACGTACTGTACGCTACCATGACCGTCTGAGTAGACCTGAAGGTTAGTTGTGCTGGTTTTCGTTTCTCGGACAAAGCTGCCTTTCGAGTCACGTTCTACAGTGCCGGTTATCTCTGATGCCTCTACCCGTGGCTCGTGCGATTGTTGGACAGCGCAGCCCTCGTCGTCGCATTTTACATTCTTCAGCGCGGCAGCGGAAACAGAAATGTCTTCTGATGTTGCAGGAGTAGGATTGTATGTTCTGGTAGTTGGTCGGGTGCACACGGTCTTTGAGGCCGCTTTCGCCTCGACGTCATCTGAAGAAGCATTTGCTTGAGGATTCTTAGGCTTCTTCTTCTTGCCCTTGCCCGTCAAAGCTCGGTACTCTTTCTTGTTCCTCATTACCAAAGGCTTGTCTACCAGTTTTGCGAGAACGTCCATATTCTTGGCGCCTTCGATGTTGTGTGGTCTGCTCTCAACAGCAACAATGTGCTTAGAGTATGGCTGGGCAGCGAGGGCACGACCAAGATAATTCTGCCCAGAGCCGAAGTCTACAAGGTGTGTAATGGGCTCCTTGCCGGATGATGCAATCTCAGAGGTCAAGTTGTCAAGATAGCGTGCGAAATGGTCGACTTCGTGCACTTTCTTGACCTTCATACCCATGGTGATGTGCCTTGCCAAGGATGCCTTTTCGGGCTGTGGTGCTGAGCCTGGAGGAGGGAAGTCTCGTGCAAGTAGATGCTTTCGGACTTCTTTGATGTATTGGATGAGATCCTCTGGTGGAGCTGGGCCATTGCGCCAACTTTGAGTTCCGTTATCGAATTGGGTCAGATCCTCTCGCATCAGCAAGTCAAGAGTGTCCATAATGTCCCGGCTCCTGAACCAGTCTCTCCATGACTGCGATAGAATGGTAGAGTATAGATCCGGTGAGCGGGTGTAGAAATCAAGCACGTGGACGCCTCCACACAATGTTTGCAAAAGCCATGATGATGTGCTGAACTTCAAGAGTGAATCGACAAATTCATCGACGTTGTCGAACTCGGCAGGCAGGGGAAGTGGCTGGTCTGGACCCATGATATTACCCGTATCCTCGTCCTGGTAACGTCGGTCTTGATCGTTTGTACAGTTCGTGTGTCTCCGACCGCATGACAGTGATTGTGATGTTTCTTTTCTCTGACTCGTGGGGCATATTCTTGGTAGCGCATGGCACGTGCGGTCCAGCTCTCCAGTACGGCTCTGGGGCATCGCCGGCACCTTCGACATCCCCGAGCTTCGCCGCAACAGCAACACGACGTCACTGCGTTTGATATTTTATATTTCTGTTACATTCCAGCTATTGGTAGTAACGAAAGATCACGATGATGTCCACGGCGAACGATGAGGATCCGTTCCTCCAGGTGCAGGCGTAAGTGCATCAGAACAGACGTAGGCACCCAATTGACACATGTCAGCGACGTCCTCTCAGCACTCAACACATCGCGCCCGCTTTTCAAGTCGTACCTTCGCATACGCTCCTCGGCATCATCAGCGAATAGCCCAGAGCTTCGGGAAGCGCGCCAGGAGCTCGAACAGACCCTCCAAGACCTCAGCCAAGACCTCGAAGACCTCGTCGAAAGCGTCAGAGCCGTCGAACATGATCCCTACAAGTATGGGCTCGACATCGATGAGGTGGCGCGCCGTAGGAAACTGGTGAAAGATGTGGGCGACGAGGTCGAGAACATGCACCAGGCGCTTCAGCAGACGGTGCAGGATGCGCATAAGAAGGGCGGCGCTCTCCCCGACCCGGACTCGTTCGAGGAGGACGAGGACAACTACACCCAGTTCGAGCAAGAGCAGCAGATGCAGATTATGCACGATCAGGACGAGGCTCTTGACGGCGTCTTCCGCACGGTTGGCAACTTGCGCATGCAAGCTGACGACATGGGCCGCGAGTTGGAAGAGCAGGGCGAGATGCTGAAGGACGTCGACACAGTCGCCGACCGAGTTGGTGGTAAGCTGCAGACGGGTATGAAGCAGGTTGGCCATATCATCAGAAAGAACGAGGGTGAGTCGTACCTGCACTGATGCAAGATTGACTGCTGACATCATTGAAGACAAATGGTCGAGCTGCTGCATTGCGGTTCTGATATTTGTTTTGATCCTGCTCCTGGTGTTGCTCCTTGTGCTATGAGACGGTGGACTACGCCTGATCAGACATCCCCCAGCAACTCGCGTATCATACGGGCGTCACTTGATGGCTGCTCGACTGCGAGGATTTGCTGTGATCTTCACGGTTCGATTGATTGATTCCAGGCGTGCTGTAGAGAACCGCATTGACTGACCTGGATCTGAAGCATACGTCATGCGCATTGATGGAGACTACCCAGGACGGCGCCGAACATCCAACGCCGACGTTATGTGTCGCAGATGACCGACTGCCTACGATGTATCTGGACACGAAGAGGCAGTCATGTTGGGGGGCCAACGATTCTTGCTGTGAATCATGCTTGCAGTGCGCCACAGACACGGTGCAGGTGGGCACCGCTCCCGCCCCGTCAAAGAGTTGCACCTTCGATACACAACCCCGCCACCTGCGCAGGCACGAGGCCAAACGCGACTGGCAAAGTCGACGCGTGGTTCGATGGGGCCTTAGCGCGTTGGTAGGGGGCAGTCACGATCCTGCCCGACACATTCCTTGGTGGTCGTACAAACTCCCACCTCGCAAATTGCCAGGACATCGCTTCAACAACCCTTTGGAATGTAGATGGCTTTTACTGCCGGATGGCTATTGTCGCGTTTACCGAAATACTGTCGATCTGACAGCTCGACAGCTGCATCGTCTCATTTCTGCTACACCGCATCGTCCTCAGTCGAGGGTTTTTGTTCGGTTTCTCAACTTTCGTTTCGTTACGTTCTCATACAACACTACTGTCGAGAAATAGCGCCTGCCCCCACGAAATGCCCTCGCCATTGGCACTTCCCTGAGTCCTGCGCCAGTGTGTTTGAATACCATCGCTGAATCAACGGTTCCAAGAGCGCTGCCTCCAAACCACACAGCAATCCACATGGCGAGACTAAACCGACTCAGTCGCATAAGCGACAAATCGCTTCCAGATCCTCCCACGACAGAGCCAAAGCTGGTTGCGTTCAAGAAGAAGAAGAACCCAGCCCCTCAGCGGCAACTAAGCTTACTAGCAATAACAATCATCTTGAACATCCTACTCTGGACCTCCATCGTTTGCGCAATGATCGCTTTCTTCCAGATTGCATCCGATTCTGCAGACCATTCCAACATACTCCCTGGTGTGTTGACGCTCATCTCGGTAGGCAGCAGTGCACTCTCTGCGGAGGTATTCGACTGACTGTCTAGGCTATTGTAACAGTTGCGTACACTGTCGTACACACAACATACTCAGCCACGCAAAGAGCTCTGACCTATCAGCAACTGGACCTTGCCACTATCAGAAAGACAACGTACGTTGCCAACCGCCTGGTGGTCTCATCATGCGTCTTGTGGCTGCTGACTGCAGGATGGAACATGATTATGGTAGCCAGAAGACCGAACTGTCTGGGCAGTCAGCTAGAAGGCCAGGCTTGGGAGGCTGGCATCACTTGTCTTGTCAGCCGCATAGGCATGGCTCTGGCTATAATTGCACTGTAAGTGTCGATCCGACTCCACTTCCAACAGTTGGCTAATTGATGCACAGCGTCGCTTCATTTACACTGTTTGGACTGATGGCTGCTGTGCGGCGTCCGTTCGAAGCTCACCTATTCGCGTATGGTCACCGCCAAACCAGTACCGAGCCGACACCACCCACTTCTCGAAGGCTATCTGAGGACCATACCGCGACTGAAAAATTGGTCCCGGGAATGGGTATGACCGCCTACAATCACACCAGAAGCACTTCAAACTTCACGAATGCGGACGTCGAGACCCTGGACTTGAATGCCAGCAGTCGTCCACCTTCCATCTACGACTCACCAACACGTGACCGGATCGGTGTCTTCACTTCACCTTTCGTTCCCCCACCACTTCCGCCAGCATTCATGATATCAGTCGAGAACTCGACTGCATCTCAACGCCCAACTCTAGACCCCTTCGCTCACCGCCGCCGCATTTCCCTTACCCCACGTACAGACGCACTCCTCGCACCAGCAGCGTATGTCCCGCACTCAATTCCCATCGAATATTCTGCATCAGCTCAGCGCGCCGTCTTCCCTGATGCCGCAGCCCCTTACCGCTCCATCAACACATCGCGCTCGCAACCGCAGTTGCGCAGCATGAGCAACTTCACAAACCGGCACCGATACAGTCGCTCTTCGATTTCGCTTTCACGTCCGCACCGCCTTAGTTCGCTCACGCCAGTATCACATCTGGAGTGCAGCAGTCGCAGCGATACACTGAATTCATCCGGTGGTATCAGCGAAACTGGCGAGAGTCCGAACTCGAAGTCTGGCGTGGGCAAAGACAAGAGGGCCAGTGCGACAGAAATCGTGTATGCAATCAATAACAACACCGCGATTCCTGGCACCGAGCAGCTGAGCCCTAGAAAACATTGGCGTACGGTCAGTGCGCCAGATGCCAACGCTGGTGCTCAGCAAGCTAAGACTGGGTCCGATGAGCGTATGGCGATGGGATGGAAACCAACACTTTCCAACTCCAAATCTTCTACCTTACTGCGGAAGCCTCTGCCTATTGCGTTCAATAAACTTGTTCGCTCGGCAAGTGCCGAATTGTTAGGTCGCTTTGGGCCAGTTGCAAGCGATGATGTGGTTGATAAGATGGTTGAGTTCAAGTGGAAGAGAGAATTTGAGCGCGAAATTGAGGACCGATTGAATGACCTACATGTTCTTCCATTCCCCGACGAAGAAGGCGATGAAGAGAGGAAGAGTATTAGTATTGACGCGGATACCCTGAGAGGCAGCTACGAGAGGAACAGTCTGGAGGATGAGATGAGGTTCGAGGATGCGAAAGAGGTTCTCAATACTGGCACTAGGCCGGTGAGTCGGGATATCGCACTCGTTTAGCAACCATAGCATAGTATATGCCATTAAAGCGTTATAGTTGTAATACATAGATACGCAGATCGTAGTCTACATTCACATGCCTAGCCCACGCGTCAACTCACCGTTCTCAGCCTCGCCAACTTCCAACTCACCCGCCTGAACTGAAAGGGCAGTTGATTTTTATAGAATCTATAGGCATCATCGTTGGTGAAACTATTCGACACGCCGAGTCATACTCCTTGTTTGTCGATCGATGCTGCACAATGTCCTGCAGGGCCAGACATCGTCGACTGAAGATAATTGGAGCATTAGGACAAGAAAGAACGAGTGATAAATAGATGGAGGCTGGATATCAAATAAACCACGCTTAGTAAGAACGCCAAGTTTGGCGTATAAGTGTAATTAGGGTATGGTGTTACACGCATTACGTCTTCCTATCATCTCCGATAGAGCTATTGTACATTACTTCGTCCACCTTCATGCCTTAACCAGCAATGAAAACACCCAGAGCACGAACGTGGGGGTTGATCAGAGTCAGGTTGAACGGCGTGAGGTAAAGATCTGAGTCCGTAACCGCCACAAACACCGTCTCGTTGACCGCTGGGTTGCGCTGATAAACCTCGTTCGGTGGCTGCCAGCTCCAGCCCTGATTAGGTCCCGTGACCTCAAGCGGCGTGTATGTAGTATTGATCTGAGACACCCACGCCAGGAACTTCGGCTCGCCAGCAGATGTCGAGGTCACGTAGCTGTTGTTAGGGCCGACAGTTTTGCCGGCATCTTCCCACTCGAGGAAAATCTTACGACCGGGGAAGGTCAGCGGCTCGGTCTTATTGCGCGAGATGGCGGGAGAGCAGTTATGGCCTGTTGTGGCGTTGTGAACGCAGGACTGGGTTTCGGTCAGGTTGGAGACGCTGGGGTCGGCGATGCGGGGACCAACGACTTCGTTCTCGGCAGTATCGTTGGGCGAGACCCTGGCTTTGTAAGTATTGGAAAAAACGATGAAGTCATCTGAGCTTACCTGTTGGAGTTAGGGGTGTTCAGGATGTGTAGAGCAGGGAAGTTCTGCCACGCGATACGAGTATTGTTGGCAGGGCAAGAGGAGATGTAGGGGGCAAGGAAGGTCCAGTGCCAGCTCTGAGGGATACCTGAACGACGTTAGTACATGCTCGTAGTCCTATTCTTGTAGAGTGAATACCAGGTGTAAAGGACACCGGCATAGGTTGCAGACCCAACATCTGACGGAAAGCCATCTGCTGACGAGCCTCAATAGACTCAGCCTGAACCAGTAAAGTAGCAACCTCACGACTGTCCAAGTGCGAGATGAAACCCCAATTACCGCTCTCACCCCACCTTGTGAGCTTGACGTTAAAGTCAATAAATTCACGAACAGTGGTGAAGGGGTAGTCATAAATACACTGCTGAGGCGCCGCCTCACCAAGCATATTAGTAAGAAGTGTTGCGTGATCAATCTCTTGCGTCGCCATGAAGGCGATGAAAGCCCTGTCCTCAGCAGCCAAGCCAGCATCGATGAAGTCCTGGTCCGAGAACTTGGCGAGGCCGTGGTTGAACAAATCCAGCTCGATATATTCCTGGTGCAGGCCAAGGTTGACGGACTCAAAATCGAAGTCACTCTCCACCATGTACCTGGGGAGTGTACCGTTGACACCCTTACCACCTACAATGCTTCATCAGTGTCTGTTCGAAAGATACGTCGAGGTAGAAACTTGCCTCCGGGGGTAAAAGGAAGTTGCGCTACAGATCGCAGTTGGCCATCGGGGTTGTAGTAAGTAGCAGTAGGGTTGGGAACGGCTGGTCCGTCAAACTTCGACGCCAATGTGGTCGTGCCAGCAGGCTTGTTCCCAGTGATCGTGGCAGATCCAGAGTAAGGCCCATGGCTGGTAGGTCCAATTGGGTCAGGGTTGACGCGTGTAGGTGCTGCACCTGGTTCAGTGCCAGTAGGTGCTTTAGTAACAATAGCAGGGATGTCTGTTGCAGGCTGAGGCAGAGCTGAAATTAGCCCGCCAAGAGCGAGGATAGCAATGTTGCCTAGCATGGCTTGCAGGTGCGACCGGGAAGAGGAGACGTGGGCTGTCAGCTTATTCACGGGAGCAGGTCAACTTATATAGACCCTACAGCCTTGCAGCAGATAACGTGCGCAAGACCTCAATATGGTGTCATGCTTCACGACACCCAAGCTGCTAATGCAGGAGTTACTGGGCGGTCTGGCAGGCTTTGTGAAAGGATTCGAGGGTATCATGCCTATCAAGGGTTCCCAGAAGGCTCGAGTGCTGACGAATATATTGTGATGGAGATCAACTGTCAATCGTATCGCTTTGCGGTCAAGCTGTAGCTTGCTTAAGCTTTTTCTTGTCCTCACTTTTTTTTACGGTTGGTCGATTACACTGAAGTGTTTGATACGCCGCGGCATGTCAGCCGGGTCTTCGTTCTGGCTGCGTCTTTCGGATCGTCAAATCTTCCCTTTACGATTCTCGTGGGACTTCAATTTGGCGGGCTTGAATGGCGAGACGCATGTGCCAAGGAGACCTACAGCCACCGATGGTCGTCAGACGTCAAAAGAATACCAGACTCTGTCACTGTGCAAGGGGTTTTGTCGGGGCTGGAGCCGAACACGGTGAAGACGCGCGGTTGTGAAGCTTTCCAGTGTAAGTATGACGTAGCGGTGATTATCTTCTCTCAGCAGCTCAACTGGTCGGAATCGGATGCTGGGACAAGGATCAGATTGTTGCGCAAATTTGCGAAAAGCCATGTGCGGGCGGCATGGGATTGTAGACAAACGCACTTGGGCAACGGTTGTTCCTATTCCGCGGGATGATGAAGTGGTGAAGTGGAGAACCGGGATATTGGCGGACAACGTTTTTGCGCCGGTAGAGACTCGACAAATACTCCCAGAGGATGACTGGATTATTCAAGATCACAATGAATTTGTACACACCCCGAGCGCTCTCGGATTGACTACACGGCCATGATAGACGCTCCTCCATCCAGCGTTACCCTGTTCCTGACATTCACCCTCATCAACTTTCCAGTAGCCTTGATCAAGCTTCCGTCCTCGTGTCTCCCCAGTACTGCGTTGGGCGAGTAAACAAGCGCTTCTCCAGTGTCAAAGGCCTCGATCCGCTGCATGATGTTCCAATCATCCTCTACAGCATTGATGTGCTTTTTGAGCGCAGCATACCACGTGGGACTCGTGAAACGGTGCATAATGATCACTGAACATAGTGCGATGAGGTCTGTTGCAATGGTGGGCTCCTGTGTCGATATCACAACTCGGGCACCTTGGTGGCGCTGTAAACGAATGACTCGTGTAAGGTAGTCGGTGAGGATCTTTGCACCGGAAGTGTTCAACATGTACTTGAGAGAGGTCAGCGTATTTTTAAGGGATCGTTGGAGATTATCGCACGTACCTTGTGAGCCTCGTCCAGTACCACCATCTTGCCGGGCGCGCTCGACTGCAGAAACTGCTCTAGTCCAAGTTTGAAGAGGATGCAAGCTGTGCTTGGGGTGAGGAAAGGATCAGACAGATCAATGATGGTGACTTCTCCCTGATTGAAGTCAGGGACAGGTGCTGTTCCGTCGAGATCCAGAAACGACTCGAGCAGGTTCATGCGCATCTTCAGCATGTTTGTTTGGGTCTGATCGAACTTCTCTTTTGCAAGTCTGCGCTTGAACTCGAGATAATCCAAGGAGCAGTCTGCACTTTTGGACGCAATGTCGCGTAGAATCGCCTCTACAGTCGCCATGTACAGCGGCATGGTGGACTTTTCGTCAACAGCCATCAACGTATGTAGGACGCCGATATCCAGTGTCTTCGCTTTCAGACGAAATGGTAGCATTTGGACGTTCGGAAGGCGCTCGTACATTCTCTTAATGGCTGGATTGGACGGCGAGTACAACACGGTGACCTTCTTGACGTGATGATCCGGGAACCCCGTATGGGACGCTCCGAGAAAGGTCGATTCACTGATATTGAAGCCCGCACCACCACTGCTCCATTCACCATAGCTAAAGACCAACGTTGAGACAGGGCTTTCGAGGTGGCCAAGATGTGACGAAGCTATGATTGCGTTCTCAAGAATGCAGGATGTTGTGTGGCTCTTGCCACTGCCTTGAACACCGCAAATGAATGCCGAGAAGGGCACGTTCGTGTTCAAGAATAATTGAGAGTCGTCAGGCGTATCATCTTCCTCCTCCAAACTGCCCAGGAGACCATATTGTGGTACAAGGTTTTTGTAGTGCTCAGCAACAATACTTGCGGCAAGTAGTGGTGCTTGACGGATACTTCGCTCGACTGCACTCGAGGGCGCTGATATATCCGCTCTGGCTTCTCGAATCTTGACAAGCTTGCCGGTGGCATTGAAGTCCGGGCCTGTCCGTTGAGCTGATGGTGGGCCACTCGTTTGGGCCTTAGACTGCTTCTTCTCAGTGGAAAATTGCAGCTGCTTCAGTTTCTTTGCCAGTATATCGTCGCCAGTTGCGAATGTGTCTACACCGGAAGTATCGGGCGTAGGCGGTGCATTCAGTAAGCCATTTATCTGTGGCGAATGTGCTGGCGGTGCGGGACTATCAGTCTGAGTAGTCTCTGCAGATTTGACATGCTGTAATGTAAGCGGCTGCTGCACAGTTTGAGTCTGCGAATCCGAGGGCTCTGGAGGCGGTGGTACCGACTGGCTCTTTTGGACTGAGGTCGTCTTTGCTGGTGTTGTCGCGGTCGGTCTTGCTGCTTTGGCGGCTGCAATGTTTCGAACACGTATCCTTGATGATGTCAGCGCTCCCATACTTTCGCGATGATATACAAGACTTACTCTTCATACAGCTTCACACTACTGGACAGGTCCAACTCAGGCCTCATCTCCCTTAGGTGCTTCAACACTGCGTCCGGGTCCAGAAAATTGCCCCGTTCATCCTTCTTAAAGCCTTCACAAGAGGCGTGAGTGCGCTCTTTAATGAATCTAGACAATGTCAGTGATAGTGTAGTGTAATATAATGTTGAACAGCGTGACGACTGACTTCTTCAGTACAGGCTTCAGCTCTTTGTTGAAATGTGGGTATGTGTCGAACATTATCTTGCGGAAGCGAAAGAGATTCGGTATTTCGTCAAAATGCTGTCCATAAAATTCTTTCCGTACTAATTCATCCATGTCGGTGAAGCGTTGAGTCGTTATTTGAGCGGTCTGAGGAACATCAGGCTATTATATATGTTAGTACTCAGTTTGTTAACATCGCAGTATGCTCTTTCAGGATGGAGGGCACTTCTGAAGAGCTTTGTCCTGCGCTGGCGACAATTGCTTGCAAGCCGCGACAAACTGTAGTTACGTATTGTTCAACACCAGCTGCAGGTCACAACTGATGAGCTTTGAGGGACAAACTTACCTTGCTCGGCACTATGGAGACCCCCAGGTCCCTCCTGTCCACTCCAGGATCTTCATTACCGAACGACACCGTCGATTCAGACAATTCCAGACGACCGTCGTTGGGCAGACACGCTAAATGCTGTTCGATGTTTCGCATTTCCCACAATAGGCTGACTGGGATCTGTCTTTTTAAGCAGAATAGCTGTGTGTTCACTGATTGGCGCGCTTTGATCGTGGTGGCATTCCGATTCGTGCCGCAGCCCCTTCCAATTCAGATATCATCTACGAGAGACGTGTCGCGCCGCGATCTATCATCTTCAAAGCGCCGTCCGTGGTGCGCGCAGCCTCACATCAAAACCTTTGTCAAGGCTTCCTTCAACCCTCGTTCGTCCAGCCACTCCTCAACAGCCTTCATATCACCCCTGTTCTGCCTTTGGCCTCTTCGTTCGCCCACAATGTCCGTGATCTCAGTCATGTCGCGGAAAACACGTTCTGCAGTTTCGCGATACCGTTCACTGACCTTCTTGTGATGTGCTGGGATGTCACCCCAGCTTTCAGTCTTGATGAACCGCATATACTCATCGATGCTTTGTGATCCCCCTTCCACACAAAGAAGACCCGGTTTACCAGCGTACAGAAAGCCAGTGAGGTTATAGGCGGGAGCAAACTTGATGAAATCGTCACGCTTGGAGCGTGTGCTGATCGACGGAAAGTAGAACCAGACTCGAACGAGCGGCCCGGCGTCAGCAACTGCAGCAGTTGACACTGCTTGTGACGAGAGTGACTCTGCGTGTGCATGTGCGGCTGTTTCTTTGATGTGCTCTAAGGTTCCAAGCAGATCGTGTTCGTCAGGCATCTCATCTTGGAGTTGACTCGTAGCCGCCCTGCTCAGCCATGATGGCTGCTGGATCCGAACCTTGAACTTCGGCGGTTCGTCAGGACTTTGAGAACCTTCGTATGTGAAAGGGGCGGTGAGGTCCAATTGTACAAATTGCGTTTTCGGGCTATCATCATCTACGATTGATAGCTTTAGACTGATCGATACTGCAGGCGCAACGCTGAATGCATCAGTTCCAGCGTCGTCGGCTGCACTGCGCAAGGTGTCCAGCATCCTTTGGGCATGGTCATCGAGCATGATGTCCTCGAGATACATCGCGACCAAGAGGTCGATTTGACCAATTTGCAGCTCTAACAATTCCGGTGGTAGCAGATGCCATGATGTCGAGCTGCTCATGTTTCTTCGCGTTGCAGTTGTGCGTGCAATTGTGTGTTGCGTCAAGGTCGCTTCCCTGTAAAATTTAGCGCCCCACGGTCGCATCTTCCCGACCGTTAGCGCGGCGCGTGAAGCAAGGCGCGTCTTCCAGGGTTGCCGACAGTGCAGATAGGCGCATGAGAAGAAAAGAGTTAGACGATGAACGCAGGTGTATTGATGACCATAAATTATATTCCATAATTGTGACAGGCGTAGGAGAGAAGATGCGCTAAGCAGTATGATCCGCTGTGCATCAAAGGGCAGGTAGGAACATTATGCCAGGCTGTCGTGTCGTCGTCATTAATGATTGCAAAAATGCTGTCAGTCTATCATGCCATATGTAGGCGCAAACTCGCTGCGCGTGTTTCTCATTGTGTGCTTCATGTCTTCGTGAATATGTCGTCGGTACTGCGATTCGGTGTTCAGTGCTGAGTTCGTAGCATCGCGGGGTTCGGTGAAGGTGATCGGCCGCGGAGAGCCGGCGAGCTGGGGCGCAGCATGGGGCTAGCCGCAGCGCTCAACGCATCGAGACTCAGCTTGCTGATTGCTTCCATGTTGCCTTGTACATCGTCCTCAGATAGGTCGAGCATAAGTCGCAGCTCGTTGGCCTTGAGCTGCTCACCGAGACCGATCATGAGCTGTTCCTTTGTCTCGTTGCCAGCAACATCGAAGTAGATCCATCGATACTTCAGGTCAGACAACTCGTGAGGCGCTGCCGGTGTTGTGATCTTGGCCGTGATGCGTCGAACGTCCATGCCGAATACGCCGGAAATCTGCGGCTCGCTGCCAATGCCCCCCAGGCCTGAATCCGAGATAGCGGTCCTTTGTAGAGGCTTTGGGACTTTATCGTCCTTGCCAATGGGCACCTCGTTTAGACGGTTTGACGCGCCTGCGTCTTGAAGCCTTGCCCGCTTGAAAACAGCGTTCTTCAACTCTGTGATACCCATGACAATGTATAGCGGCTTGCCAGCCTTGACGGTATCGTAGATCCAGGTGCGCGCCTCTGGGTCGTTGCAAACGGCCTGGAAGGCTGCTGTGGGGTCCTGACTCGTTCTCTGAATCATCTGCTCAGCCTTGACTGTGAGCAGTTTCGGCTGCCTGTATATCCTTCCAAGCTCGAACTTGGCGCCATAGTTGGTCAGGAAGCGTCCCTCCTGGTCAAGGCTGTACAGATCTTTGTATCGAAGCTGAATGTGGTAGTCGTTAAGATCGTCGACTTCTTCGTGCGCTGAGCTCGAATAGAAGCATTCGCGTTCGGGGTGGAGTGGATGTGTTAGGAGTTGGCCGACTGGGCTTGTTAGCTTCGATGGAGCTGCTGTGGGGTGACATAGCTACCCATCAAAAGGTCACTCGGGAGGGGCTTGGGGAGAAGACCGTGCAGAGGCATTGCAGATCTGTGTTATTGCGAGGTGCGAAATTTCAAAATAAATGGCAACAATGGAGAAATTGAAAGAAGCCTGAGCCGCGCGATGGGTGAGAAATAAAGATGGTGAACCCTGAGATCTATGCACAGTGACACCAGCTTAGCCGCTGCTTGGCCAATCGGGGCCAGTCTATGAGACATCGCCGCCCACGTTAGGCACTACGACACGGATATTGGACGGGCAATGAACACCCAGCAGTAACATGGAAGGGGCGCGAATACTGTTAAGGACTTCCGTGATACTATCTAGGTCTCGTTACGTGTGGACGCTGAGAAACGCCATCCATAGATCTGAACAGCCTTGCTCTTTCTTCTTCGAGGACACCGGAGATCTGACCGACATGGGATGTGCAATCCACACCAAGTCGTAGTTTGGGATGCGATGCGGCGTGCGCATTACTTAGGTACTTCTACGCGGATGCAGGATACGTGGACGACTAGCCTTCACCAATCACCTTTGCGGGACTTGCTTTCCTGTGGTCAAGGCCTGTAAAAGAAGGAGTACCACACAGCGCCCACGGCGAGGGTATCCGTCAAGCTTCCCCTCCTATCCTTGCAAACCCATTATGCAGGGACCAGAAAACGAACACCGGAAATGCAGCGAGTACTGCAAGATTTTCATGAAGAGGAGCGCAATGATCATGGGGGTGAAGATGAGTAAGGCTGACTGTCGCTGTTGCATTGAGGCTTAGCCATATGTGCAAGGGTAGGACCAAGCAATTGACTTTTGTGAGGATGCACGTCGATGCATGTGGATGTGACCGCGTCGGCGCTTTTGTTTCGAGTTTGTTAATAGCTGGCATGCAGAGACCGAGTGAAAGGACAGCGGAGGTACTCACACAGTAACTTCTCCACAGTATCACCCCTTCTGTCCACGCCTAACCTCAAAAGCAAGATCAATCGATCAGGCCACGCGTGGGAGGGAACACTTGAGAAACCCGACGAAGCTCCAAACATAGCTCTTATCGATTAGCAGAGAGGGGCAGACATCACCAACAACGTCACAACTCAACCCACTCAGTCCCGGTTCAGCCTCCGTCTAGGGTTAGATAGCAGCTGCTATCGCAGTAGTAAGCCCACATTCAGAGCCAATTGGCGAATCACCGCTGCTTTGTGACGCTGAGCATGAAGCCACACGTCACTCTGGACCAGGCCCCTCATTGCCGCTCGAGCTTCGGTCTCAACCTTTCTGCGCTGAGAGAGTACTTGAACCCCTCCTTGCCCCTCGGAGAAAATTACATTAATTGCTTTACCAAACCTCAATTGCACTTTCTTCACCCGTGTACCCCTTCATATACCCCAATCAGTCATCATGGTCCCAATTCCCCAGGCCGACGAGCTCAAGGACCTTTTCAGCCTGAAGGGCAAGGTTGTCATTGTCACTGGTGCTTCCGGTCCTACCGGTATCGGAATTGAGGCTGCCCGTGGTTGCGCTGAGTACGGCGCTGACCTCGCCATCACATACAACTCTCGCGCTGAGGGTGCCGAGAAGAACGCTAAGGAGCTGAGCGAGAAGTATGGCGTCAAGGTCAAGGCCTACAAGTGCCAGGTCGGCGTCTACTCCCAGTGTGAGCAGCTCGTCGCCGATGTTGTCAAGGAGTTTGGCAAGGTTGATGTCTTCATCGCCAACGCCGGAAAGACCGCTGACAACGGTATCCTCGACGCTTCCGTCGAGCAGTGGAACGAGGTCATCGAGACTGACTTGACCGGTACCTTCAACTGCGCACGCGCTGTCGGTCTTCACTTCCGCGAGCGCAAGACTGGTTCCCTCGTCATCACTGCCTCTATGTCTGGCCACATCGCCAACTTCCCCCAGGAGCAGACCTCCTACAACGTCGCTAAGGCTGGCTGTATCCACTTGGCTCGCTCGCTCGCCAACGAGTGGCGGGACTTCGCCCGTGTCAACTCCATCTCGCCTGGATACATTGACACCGGCCTGTCCGACTTCGTTCCCCAGGACATCCAGAAGCTGTGGCACTCCATGATTCCCATGGGTCGTGATGCCAAAGCTAAGGAGCTCAAGGGTGCCTACGTCTACTTTGCCTCCGACGCCTCCTCCTACTGCACTGTAAGTTTCCTGAATCGAATCCTTACTTCGACCAACACTGACTTACTCAGGGCTCCGATCTCCTCATCGACGGTGGCTATTGCGCCAGGTAAACGTGTCGCCTCACCAATAGAGAATGGGTTCGACAGCGGTACGACACAGACGACGGGTTTTTCTGGAATAACGATACCTTCCTCGTACCTAGTAACGTAAAATGAAACAAAGCCATCAAAGGCCTGTGAGCACTATCCACATTCCACGACTTCACATCTTTCCTTGTGCATGAAAATTTGCATCGTGATCAGTCATTTGAGAGCTTTCAGGCACAGCTTCGATCTCAACCGAGGGTGACCGGGATAAAGCCTCTGAGCCGCCCCAAGAAGTGGAGCGTCACGAACCCCGCACTTGACTCGCTTGTCCCGTCTCTAACGGGCCGCGGCAATTCGACAGCTGCTCTGCGAACGACATTTGCTTACAATACCAGAGCTTGCCGCATGAATGGCTGACACTCTTCACATTATCACATATGTCGTTTCCTCCGGCGAAGCCTGCACTTGCGCCCTCCGCAAAGCAGCCCACCAGTAAAGAGACTTTCGGCAACCTCGGCCCCTGGGCTGAGCCATCTTGGTACTCCTCACTCGCATCGCCCTATTATAACGAATCCCACAAGCGCTTACGCAACGCGTTGCGCTCATACATTGACAAAAATGTCAAGCCATATATGCTAGAGTGGGAGGAGAAAGGCGAGGCGCCAGTAGAGGAGCGTAAGAAATGGGCTCGTACAGGCTTTGCATTTGGCGAAGTGCCTGAGCCGTACAGACCTAAAGATGTACCTGGTCCTGCTGGCATACCAGTCGGAGAAATGGACATATTCCATCTCTTGGTGTCGACGGATGAGAGCAGCCGCATCGAAGGTGGTGTTGGTACTGCACTTGGCGGCGCAAGCGTGATCGGTCTGCCGCCTATTGTGCATCATGGCACAGAGGCGCAGAAGCGCATGTGGTTACCAGGGCTGTTTAGCTGGGAGACAAGCTTCTGTCTGGGTATCACGGAGCCGAGCGGTGGTGTGAGTGTCTCTACTGGCTATCTCTACGCCTACTGACAGTCTATAGTCCGACGTTGCGAACCTACAAACGACCGCGAAGAAGACACCAGATGGCAAGCACTACGTCGTGAACGGCTATAAGAAGTGGATCACCGGCATGCCTATCGCTACGCACATGACAACCGCAGTGCGAACAGGTGGACCAGGGATGGGCGGCATCTCTGTCCTCGTCATTCCCGTCGACTCGAAGGGCTTCACATGGCGACGCATACCAAACAGCGGACAGAATGGAGGCGGTGCCAGTTTTGTCGAGATGGATGACGTCCACGTCTCGGTCGAAAACCTCCTCGGCAAGGAGAACGAAGGCTTCCGGATCATCATGACCAACTTCAACAAAGAGCGATTCATCATGTCAGTTGGCTGCAACCGAAAGGCTCGCACATGTCTATCTGAGTCGTTCGAATACGCGAACAAGCGCCATACGTTTGGGAAGCCATTGATCTCGAATCAAATAATCAGCCACAAGCTTGCTACAATTGGCCGGTATGTGGAGAGCCATTGGGCCTGGCTTGAGCAGCTAGCATACCACATTCAGCAATCTCCATTGGGCTGGCAAGACCCGGAAATCGCTGGGCAGATTGCGCTGGCCAAGGTCCATGGTGGGCGAATTCTGGAGATGGCAAATCGTGAGGCACAACAGATTTTTGGTGGAGCCGGGTATCAGAAGGGTGGCCCTGGCGCTATCGTTGAGCAGATGAGTCGCGATCTGAGGATGATGGTACGTCGGCCAAACGATTCAAACTTTGATAGTATTGCTAACGTCGTCTTAGGTTGTTGGAGGTGGCAGCGAAGAAATTATTGCAGACCTGGCTGTTCGACAAGAGACTGCACTAGCTAAGAGGAGAGGCTGGAAGTTGTGAACTGCAAACTATCGCTACGTACGTCATTGTATACTTCTCTGTTGCCAACGCAACTACGCAGGATCTGCAGACGTGCGGCGGTAGTCGCTGCCGTGAACATGCCTACCCTTGTGCGCCTTCCCTTTGTGGATTATATTTAGCGTGCGGAGTAACTTCAACCAAAGCGCCTTGCATAGGCCAATATACTGACCCATGTCGACACATCACTTCTCTCCACCTTTCTCCGTTCTGGTGTGACGTCCAAAGCTGACGAAGCCGCAGTACGAGCTTTGACGTTACACTGAGACCCGTCCCGCCAGGCACGTCAACGTATATCATCTTGCAGCCTCGCCTTTCCAGCAACTCAGTCCCACCCTTTCATACACGACTTCGATATGGGCAAAGCAAACCGGAGTTGGCCTATGCGGCTGTTGATGGCCACAGCAAGCCTCGTTCACCTTCCCATCGCTGGTGCTTTCGACATCTCGACCACGACCATCGCCTTATGGAAAGTAGCGTCTACCAAAGACGTCGGCATCAACACCGCGAAGCTCTCTGCGCCAGATCTCAACACCTCGTCATGGCACACCATTGGTTCAAGAGGCACACTCATGGCTACTCTGATTGATAATGGTATCTACAATGAGACTTCACTCTTCTTCTCAGACAACCTTCAGGATGTCGACATCACGCAATTTCGCGTACCGTGGTTCTACCGTACTATATTCGAGGCTCAGGAGAACAATGGTACCTTCACACAGCTGTTCACGAATGGCATCTCATCGAGAGCGGACATCTTTCTCAACAGGCAATATCTTGGAGGCACCATTGGCGCATATGCTGGATCTGAGATTGACATCACATCCAAATTGCAAGCCGGGAAGAACGTACTGCTTGTGAAGGTGTACCCCACGGACTACAATCACGACTTTGCGCTTGGCTTTGTGGACTGGAATCCTTACCCGCCAGACAACGGGACTGGCATCTGGCGGGATGTCCAAATCAAGACAAGCGGCCAGATCAGTATCGGAAAGCCCCGCGTACGAACAAACTTGGATGGCGACGTGGACTTCTCGATCAACATCAGGAACTTGGGCACCATGAAGGTCAAAGGTAGAGTCCAGTGTGCTGTAACGGACCCGAACGGCAAACAGCTAGGTAGACCGCGAACGTCCTTCGAAGCAGATAGCGGCAAGTCGAATCTGGTAGCTCTACATCTCAAGGTCGACAGCCCGAAGGTATGGTACCCATCACAGTGGGGTGGCCAGCCACTCTACAGCGTACAGTGCACTGCGACGAACAATAGCAACTCCAACGTTGCAGCGGTGTATGACCAGACGCCAAAGACAAAGTTCGGTATACGCACTGTGACCTCTCATCTTAACTCTTACAACGATACTATGTTTTCAGTCAACGACCAGCCGTTCCAAGTCATCGGTGCCGGGTACACGTCTGACATCTTTCTACGATTTGACGCTGAGAAGCTGCGTGCGCAACTTCAATACGGTTTGGACATGGGTCTAAATACCGTTCGTCTTGAAGGCAAGCAAGAACACTCTGAGTTGTACGACCTCGCAGATGAGATGGGTATTATGCTTCTGCCAGGCTGGGAGTGCTGCGACAAGTGGGAGGCTTGGGCCTACAATGAAGAGAAGAGCGGCGAAGAGTGGAACGACGAAGACTACGATACTGCTGCTAAATCGATGGCACATGAAGCAAATATGATGCAGAACCATCCCAGCGTGCTCGGCTTCCTGATTGGAAGCGACTATTGGCCTGACAATAGAGCCACTGATTTGTACGTCAACACACTCGGAGGCTACAACTGGACGACTCCCATCATAGCTTCTGCTTCTCAAAACGGGTATTCAGAGCGACTTGGCAATGGTGGTATGAAGATGACGGGTCCGTACGATTGGGTTCCCCCCAACTATTGGTTCGACACCAACAACGGTAGCAACACGCATCTAGGTGCAGCGTTTGGCTTTGGATCTGAGCTTGGTGCTGGAGTCGGTACACCAGAACAGGGCAGCCTGATCAAGTTCCTCAACGCTTCAGATCTTGATGATCTTTGGCGGGACCCCAATAAAGGTCTCTACCACATGAGTACCGACGTCTCCTCCTTCTACACGCGTTCCGTCTACAACGAAGCCCTCTCCAAGCGCTACGGAGCACCCACAAGCCTCGATGACTACATCTTCAAATCACAGATGGCAGACTATGAAGCCACACGCGCCCAGTTTGAAGCATACCTTTCGCGCTGGAAAGCCGATCGTCCTGCATCTGGACTGATCTACTGGATGTTCAACAACGCGTGGCCAAGCTTGCACTGGAATCTCTTCGATTATTATCTCCACCCCAGCGGTAGCTACTTCGGCACCAAAGCCGCACTCGGCAACCTCGAATCCGTCGTCTTCGACTACAATTCCCAAGACGTATACTACACTGACCGTGCTCTGTCGGTCTCCACCCCCAAAACCCGCCGACTGTCCATCGAAATCATAGACCTCGCCGGCAATAAGATCTACCAGGGCCTGAACGCTCAACATGCGAACCTAACCGCAGAGCCCAATACAAGCAACCTCGTCACCCACATTGATGCACTGCACAACATATCCTCTGTCGTTCTATTACGCTTGACTCTCACTTCTCTAGACCAAGAAGAGCCACTAAGTCGCACCACCTACTGGCTCGGCCCCGAAATCGATACCCTAGACTGGGACAACTCAACGTGGTACCATACACCCGTCTCTTCTTTCACAGATCTGACCGCCCTGACAACAATGGACGAGGCGAAGATCTTAGTCCGCGGTAAAGGGAAGAGCGTGCAAGTTGAGAACACAAGTGACGTGCCGGCTGTATTTATTAGGCTCAATCTTGTCAGTGCACAGGGCGAGGATGTGGTTCCGGTGATGTGGGAGACTAACTACATCACCCTCTGGCCCAGAGAATCGTACGATATTGCAGTAGACGCGGGTTCGGACTGGGATGTAAATGATTTGCGGGTCGTGATTGACGGCAGAAACGTTAAGAAGAGGACGGTGAGATTGAACGGGGGAACGCAGGTCTTGCCTGGCGACAGCTTTAGAGCGCATTGAACAATCGGGACTGTAGCATTGGGTCATACACAGCTTGGGACAGAACTAGGTCTCTGTTCAATTTTCGTATAGCCTATATGTAGGTAATCTCTCGACTTCGGCAGATCCTAGCCTTGCCCTTGCTCTGAGCTACTTCATCCGCGACCTCGTCCGCTACCTGGCGCGCTTCCTCTGCCACGATGGCTGGACTCGACTCTCGGTGCACCCCGCGATGCCTCATGACGTGGTCCTGGCTGTGGCTCGGCATTCAGACGTCCGTTGTTCGGATCGCTCGATGGCTGTGTGCGCCGCAGTTCAGTCGGTCGATACGAGTCCGTCGCACCGCCACGCGGCGTATATCCGCCACGGTGTCCGGCAAGCAGACCGCTTCCCCTGCCACCACGCATGCCTCCTTTTGCCAAGTTTCTCTCTCTCGAGGTAGCTCGCTTCGGTCTGTTGTGTGCCAACCAATGCCTCTCAAAGAATTCCCGCTGCACAATCTTCCTTCTGTCTTGCATCTTGTGCACCACGAGCGGGCCCCTCGGATCCTCCCTGACCAGGATGACCGCCTTAGTGGGACCCTCCTGCTCTTTGCAGATACCCCTCAACATGGCCAGCAAACCCACAAGCTTCCTCAAAGCATCTTGGTGCCTTTCCTCCCAATTCTTGATCCGCTCGGTCGCGTCTTCCTTCTTGATGTACAGGATCTTGCCAGTCCCAGACTCGTAGCGCCCGGTGTACAAGTGCGTTGTGCGTCCAAACCACAATTGGTCCAGGCAGGCTACATTTGACTGGCCTTCCTCGCGCGGGCGCTCGACCTGCGTTTTCAGCTCCAGGAGCTGGTTGCCCGGGACGAAGACGCCCTTCTGCAAAACCTTGAATGGCGCGCGGTAGCTAAATTGCGGGCGCGTCATGAGATCCGGCTCAGTGGGAACCGGGGGCACGACGGCAGCTCCGGACTCGGAGGGCACGTTCGACGCTATTGCGACGTAGGCATCAGCTTCGAAGCGGCATACGACGCGCAGGGGACCCATGCGGTAGCGGATTGCGCGGTAGTGCGATGTTGCGTCTCTCATGTCTGGGGTGGGCGTGGTGAAGTGCTTTTCGAAGTTAAAGCCGTAGGATTTGCCGTCGCTGCGGCGCCAGAAACCGTCTTCGCGGCGGACGATGATGAGTGTGTTGAAGATCACGTATAAGTCTAGCCGAAAGGGGCCAACGGTTTTGCCTTGCACGACTTCGAGGAGTACACGGAGGTTGTTGCGGTCGGCAAGGATGTCACAGTCCTTGAGCGAGAGGTCTGGGTTCGAGAGGGTCATGGCGTTGAAGACGGCGGAGAACGGGTCGGCTGGTTGCCGTACGTAGTTGTAGTCGGTGGGATGGAAGCCTGCATCGCCTCGGACATTGTAAGGCATATCTTGCGGAGTCCACCTTGTGGGTGTGCCAGGGACATATATTGTATTGGTACCGTCAACAGTGCTCGACCAGTTGTACGAACATATGACCTCTGGGTCCTCGTTCCAGGTCACTTCCTGCTTGCAAGGTTCGAGATCCGGCGACAATATCTCTCGAAGGACAGGACCTCGCCGCTTGGACAGAACTTTATCTTTGCGCTCCTTCTTCCTTTTTTGGGCGAGCGTCAAGACTTTGGGCAGCGGTTTGGGAATGTCCAGTTCTCCTTCCTCAGACTCCGTTGCGATATCGACATCATCATCGTCCAGGTTCTCCACATCATCGTCTGGGGCAGTTTCATTAACTGAGCCAACCTGTTCAGTTTTTGGACCTCCAATACCGGTGGCGAACGTTGGATTGATGAGGCTGAGTAGACTTGTTTCTCGTTCTGTTCGTTGTCGGTTGGTTTCAGACTCGCCTGGAGCTGAGAATATCCCAATCCCACCTGCACACTGTGAATCTGAATCTAAACCCTGTACTCAGATTTTGAATGACCAAAGGTATAGCGCAAACTTTACTCATCTTCTGCAACGCTGCGACAAGCGCAAATTGCATACGCTTTCCAAATGAGGTGCTGCTGCGCCCAGATAGTGGTGGCAAGTTTGCGGCTTCTAGCAGCGCCCGCCGTACGGCATGCTGCAGCTTTTTCGCTTTTCTTAAAATGGTGGATTTCCGTGCTTGAGATAGAGAATCAGATAAAGGAAGCTGGTCGCGATGGCCAAGGGCAGGTAAATGAGCTACTGTGTGGCAGCGGACAAGAACGGTGCTATCACTAGTATCAAGGAAGCCACCAAGAAGAGGGGGTAAGGGTAGGGATAGATGCTGGGCTCAATAGAGTAGTCCTTGTTGGTGCACATCCAACGCATCGATAAATGAAGGCACGTGAATGGATGATGGAGATGGCAAAAGACGAGCGTGAAGTGGGAAGGCTTGGATTTAGCGCGTGGCGCTGATTGGTCAGTATCTCGCGCCACATGCTGTGCCACACATCATATTGAGCAGCAAATACGTCGAGATTGATAATGGCTCAGCGAATGTGGTGACCAAAAATTTAAATCTAGACCAATGTGATGGTGACTAACATCGCGATGTATATTCGCCGAAAGCCGAAAGCGAGTGTAAGCGGCGGCGCCTTCCCCTCACACGCTTTCGCCGTTGGTCGCCGCGAAATTCGAACCATATAACAATGCTGCATTTCATACCAACACGCTGTCATCTTGTGCATGAGATTTGACATTAAATCCTTGTGTTCGTCGTTGTTTGCTCGAGGACTATATATCGAAAGACTCCAACAATCAACTTTCACACGCCCCGCAACACGCGTCAACTCGTCACTCAGGATCGACAGCATCAGAACCATGGCATCTGGGTCAAGAGTACATCTTGAGGCATCTCAACAACCTCAGTACTTTTTCAAGGGCCTCACAACTGAAAGTGCGAACAAGACGACCGAACTACTACAGGTCAACCACGAGAAACACCACATCCTCTTCAACAAGTCGGGCTTCCACAACCACATCGCGCATCACCTTCTCACCCTTTTCGCACTAGGCGCAACACCAGAAGAGATACAAGATGGCTATGATACCAACGTCTCGTATCAGCGGCCGTCCGAGCCGTTGAAGGACTCCGCCATCGAGGACATGCATAACCCCGACCGATTCAAGACCTACCTTGAGAAGGAGGAGTACTATCACGACTTCCTTGTATTCTTTCAGAAAGAGATCGAGAAGAAAACCTGGCAGAAAGTGCTTAATGAGTACCTGTTCGCGCGGAACGAGCGGGCTGATGACCTGTTGGCTCGTCTGTACGCTGGCTTCCTGCATCCAATCATCCACATTGGATTTGGTGTCGAGTTCCAGCAGCCTGCCATCATTGCTGAGGGACTAGCACAGGCATGTGTGCACGACGATTGGATAAAGTGGTTATTCCTCGGCGTTGAAGAAGCGGCTGAGAAGAACAGAAGAAATGATGATAGAAAGACGATTGTACAATTGCTTGACGAAGTGAGGCAGGACGGAAAGCTGAGCAATGCTGCCCATTGGGAGGATGGGAACAAGATACGTGACGGCATCATGAAGAGGGCCCAAAACAAGATGATCGAAATCGCAAGCCAGTACACGATCCGAGAGGACGATAACCTGGAGGAGAAGACTGCTGAGATGATCAACGCCGCCGGTAAGCATGGCAAGTCTCCCGAATGCAACAGCGCTGACTATGGTTAAGTATACTTTACAGCTGCCGCTCAGCGACCGCCGCATCAGGTCAAGTTTGACTTCTACTACATGCACTGCGTCACCTCATCCATCTTCTTCTCCAACTTCCTCTCCTCATTCAACAACTTCCTCACACCCGCAACCAAGCGCCGCCTTCTCGAGTGGAAAGTCTGGAACGATATCATCATGTACGCATCACGACACTCACCAGCCCTTTTGCTCTCCGAGGTCACAGACTACACGCCAAAGGCAGATTCAGATTGGGACAGAATCATCCTGCGAGTCAACAAGCTAGAAGACGACGGTCACGCAAGCAAGGTCATCCGGGCACTAGCTAATGGCCAGAAATCATGCCAGCCGTACGAGGATAAGCCTGGCTTTGTCATCAAGGGTGATGCGTGGAGGAAGATAGGACACATGGCTATTGACTCTGTGGAGGCAGGTGAGCCACACTGGACTAGGAGCTGTGGATTTGATCAGGCGTGGCAGGATGTGCCGCTGAGGGATGGAGCGAAGCTGTGAGTTTGCTCGAGGACGGGAGAGACGTGAGGGGGCTGGGAAACCAGGTCGCGTGGACGCTGGAAGCACCAGAGAAGTGGCGAGGAAGCCCTTGTGCGTGTGTTGAGCTGTGCAGTACCATGCAAGGTACAGACTACGGGGGTTCCACAGGTGAGGCTGTAAGCTGCAGAGGATCAGGGTAGATATCGATATCTATGCAATGCAACAGATAAGTCTTGTGCGCAGCTCTATTGATAAGATGGCTGATTTTGTACAACCAATAAAGTGACAAGTATTTTCGTACCATAGCTCGCCTTAAGAGACGCTAGAACGGGCTACAAGCATGCATAGCTGTTGTACCTCTACCTGCTAGGTACATGACAGCGTGCAGCGCGTGTGCAGGCCACCACTTTGAGTCCCAGCTCTCAGGTCAGACCGAAAGCAAACTTGATCTCCCAATTACTTGCAGTAGGTACACCGCTGGTTTTGCGCAGCGGCGTGTAGTTGCTGACGTAGAAATGGGGCCTTGGAAATTTGCTTCCTTCTCGTATTGACATTGCCTCAGTCTTTGACAAGAGAACTAAGTCACGCTGCACATTGGATTTGCAGGTGAAGCTTTCTCCACCTCTTCAGCCGGCCAATCACATCATATCTGTACCTGAGCAGCGCCAGGATTCAAATGCAGGACGATTGTGCATAAACAGTGGGCCCTACGGGTGGTCGAAAGGAAATTAAATCGCGCTGCTGGGGGATCTAACAAGGACAACGAGGACGATGCTTACGACCGCGTTTACCTTCGGGATATTTCTTGACCCAGAGGCTCGTGTGCTCCGTTGCAGCATTTTCAGAAAAGTGAGCTGTGCCGGGCGGAAGCTGAGCCTTGAAGGCGTTGAGGACGAGGCCAATCACAGCCGATCTTCGCAACACTTCCACACGATAGGTGGCGGCTACAAGCGCGGGACCCTCACCTTGTGTGCCCCCAATCTCAGGAGGCGGCGGCAAGCCTATCGATAAGTTTGCTTCGTCACCGGCGGCTGAGACGGTTTGCCATGTCAGCGGCCATAACTGCGGACTCCTGCACGAGGCCACAACATCGAAGCCAACTAGACTCGACGCTTCGCAGGACGCCGTGCTCTATCATGTCGCACGGGCAGCGCCGCGCTGCCGCGTCGCCAGGCCCTCTTGGAGAGGTTCGGCGCAATCTCGTTAATGACAGACGGCTGGTTACGTGGAGGATGAAATGACTGGGGATGTAGTCTCAATTATGCAAAAGGGTACATTGCTCGCCGACTCGTCAAATACAGTGGCGAGCAATCAGCATCGCGACAGCAACAGTAGCATCAACAACAGCATGATGCATGTTGGCATGGTGTTCAGGCACGAAAAGGCGATTACGATGGCCTCTCGGCGCCATTCCCGAGCTACAATTGCGATGCGCCGTTAAAGCGGGGCCGATGACGCTCGTCTTCCAACGACGGGGATTTCCAGGTGCTGGAAATTGCGATGCAGAGCGCACGGAGTGCTCCCAAGTCGGGTGCCGGCTTCCTTTGACCTGTGCAACACCCGGCCGAATGCGCGGGTAAGAAACGAGAGAGCAGTAGGAGCCCGGAGCTGAGATTGCTGAGGGACGCGCCGGGCTGTGAGAGCGCGACTGGTGAAGCGTAGCGGTGCGTGAGGGCTGGATAACCTCAACGATTGCGGCGTACCGCTATACTGAAGCCCGACTGGCTTGTAAGGCTGTACGCGTGCTACCATTCCCGATTCACTACAACGAACCAGGCCTCCCTTACTGACATGTTTCAGCTTACTCTAAATGCGCTAGCGTCCGACGAGCATGGCATCCTTAGCCAACAGGACCACTCCCATCAGCGGGGCTGTCTGGGGTTTCACGTCCCTTGTTCTGAGCATTCCTTCATTTCTCTTAGAAAACACCGTATAGCCCTGGTGAGATCCGTTCGTATCCCCTCTCTTCCCTTCCTTCTTTCCTTCTTTGTTCGCCCTTACGGCTTGTCATTCTTTTGCCTTTGGCTGTGTCGCTCCTTTGCAACACCCACACTCGCTATCGATACCATCGTCAGTCTTTCCTGTGCATACCAATTCAAGAACAAGGCAACAGATCGGAAGTCCGGGCGGTTGAGGAAAGGATCCATTCATCCACAGTCACCAGTCACCACTACACGCCTGCCAAGAGTATCCTTCACTGGATATCCGCTCGTCATACTCGAACAGTAAAAAGAACAGGCTTTTAGAGAACACAACGGAATCGCTCTCGAAACAACAAATCAAGGACTACACTTCATATTCAGCCCCTGATATCGCCAACCGCCCATATCAACCATGAAGTCTACGACCACCTTCTCCCTTGCTGCGGCACTCCTCTCTGGATCCGCCGAGGCATTCTGGCGCATGCCCTGCCACTCCAGGACTGCGTTTCTCCGTCTCGATCCCATTGTCGACCCTGGTGTCGCATCCTCCCACGGACACGTCATTCACGGTGGTAGCAGTAAGTACATTTGACCCGCATATTTGTTTTGACCCACTGCATGAGCGGGATGGCTATTCTGGGGTTGCGCGCAAGCGTATAACCAAGGCATCCCTGACTTTTCATTCACGCCTGAGGCAGGGAATATGTCAAGGCATAAAATACAACTGCTGACATGGTAAACAGACTTTGGCGAATCGACTACCTACAAAGACTTGCGCGAGTCTAACTGCTCGTCTTGCCAGTTCCCTGATGACAAGTCCGCCTACTGGTATGTCATTCAACGAGATCTACGCGCCCTCTTACTGACATCGTGCAGGACACCCTCCCTTCACTTCGCCCACACCAATGGCAAGACTGAGGTCGTTCCCCAGATCGGTGGTATGCTCGCATACTACCTCTTGCTCGGCGACAACATCCAGCCCTTCCCCGAGGGTTTCGAGGTCCTCGCCGGTGACTCTCGCATGCGCAACTTCACTGGCGCCGTTCCCGACCCGCCAACATCGTCCTGGGCCGCTGAGGACATGACCCAGGAGTCGCTCATGCAGAAGTCTCTTGGCTTCAACTGCCTCAACTACAACCGCGCGCCCGAGGGCTCTCGTTACCGCCACTTCATGCCTGACAAGGACTTCCTTGACGCCAACTGCGCCAACGGTATCCGCGCCGAGATCTTCTTCCCCTCGTGCTGGAACGGTAAGGACGTCAAGTCCGATGACCACAAGTCGCACGTCGCATACCCCAACTTGATCGACGGTGGCAAGTGCCCCGAGGGTTACGAGACCCGTCTGCCCTCCCTCTTCTACGAGACCATCTGGAACACATACGCCTTCAAGGGCAAGTCTGGACAGTTCATCTGGTCCAACGGCGATCCCACTGGCTACGGTTACCACGCAGACTTCATCAACGGCTGGAACACCGATACCCTTCGCGCCGCCGTAAACGACTGCACAAACCTCTCCGGCCGTGTCGAGGACTGTCAGCACTTCACCAACCTGCAGACCGAGGCTGTGCAGGGCGAGTGCAAGATTGAAGACATCCCCACCGCGCTCCTCGACGATGACTGCGGCGGCCCGTCCAACGGACTCTGCGGTAACGTTCCCGTCCAGTACGGTCCCGAGTACGCTTCTGCCCTCCAGCCCGGCGCAACTGAGAAGCCCACCGGCGGCGTAAGCATCACCAGCGTCGCGCCCGTGCCCACACAGAGCTACGCGCCCGCCCGCTCCAAGAACAGCTACGGCATCAGCGTGTACAACGTCAAGACCTCTGCCATTCCCGGCCCGTATAACACTGACTCTCTCGAGGTCATCAAGCCCAGCAAGCCCGCTGTTGATGTCCCTGCGGCGCCCGCTGTTACTCCCAGCCCCAGCCTCGAGGATGCTGCGGATCCCGTTGCCAACATCATCAGCACCAAGATTTACACTGAAGGTGGCATTGTGTACGAGGTTGCGATCGAGGAGATCGTTGTTACGACCACTGTTGACTCTGCGTACCGCAGAAGACACGCTCACGCGCACCGTCGTCGTGCTATCAACTAGGCTTCACACGTCTAGTGTGTGGTTTGGCGATGAGTATTCTTGTCATAATACGGCATAGCCAGCGTTGCTTATAAAACTTCCTTCTCAGCGAGCGTAGCGCAGTGCATTGCATAGCGTGTGACCCCAGCACCCTGCACTCGCCGCGTTCAGCTCGTCTTCTGGCCTCCCCTATTGTGCATGTCTAGCGGGACGGTGTGGTTTTGGTATATAGCACAGATCTGTTGGATTGGTGGCTGCTTGCTTTCTTGGATGACCCCTTCACCCGTTGCTTGCTTTGTACCCTGGCTTGGCTTTCGGTTCTGCGGTAGAAGGCTGTGCCGGATACGCACGTGCTTGCTTTACACTCGATAGAAAGAAAGGGGTAGTGATGAACACTTGCGTTGCGCTTCTTATTGCTATCCGCTGTCTTTTGTTATGATATCCAATTCACGATGAGCATTCCACTTTATGCTTGCGTATACCTAAGCGTGTTGTTCCTATCGTCTTAAGATATCCTTTTGCGAAGTCCTGACCAAGTTGTTGGCGTCACAGTCGGATGCTACCTTATTAATAATGTCAAAATCATGTAACATCTCCAGTAGTGTACTCCAACTTCGCAGTAAGATGTGAGACGCTGGTCCATTATGCTGCGTAAGTTGTAGGGTAGTTCACGGTGTGGACGCTCAGTGAGCCGGTCCAGTCTTCCTCTTGTCCAATGTCTATATATCCAGGTTCTGAGTGTACAAAGACAGTGCCGAATAATCTGCTCGCTATACTTGAATCCGACGTTGACTTGCCCTGACCCATGGAAACTCGGGTTCATAGTGAGGTGAGGTAGTGTGTTCAAGGGGTCTGGTAGTCTGGCATCCGTAGCAATAGCGTGGAGCTAAGCCTCGCCGCAATCGACGGATGCGCAAGAAGCTTCCTCTTTGAGCGTAACTAATCATGTATCCAAAACTAGGGCCACATTGGGGGGAACATCTTTGTGATCATATAGCGTCCGTCAGGGTATGGTAGATGAGTCGATCTGGAGGTCGGTCGAGTCGTCTCAAGAGGGTTCTTTACATATTCGGACTCTTTGGAAGCATAAAAGCAAGAAGAAACCAATGAGATACTTCAGTGAGCTGTGGTGGTAAGCTTTCTCTGAATTGAACGGACACTGGGACCTGGAGAACCAAGGGCGTGGTAAAGCATCGATATCGTTGATCGTGCTACATAATGAGTCTCCTATAACACCATGCTTATGTGTAAATGCCCATGCTATGCAATGACGACTAGACCACCAAATGATTATGTCGTACTATCCTTTGACAAGCCGTTCTTCGAGCCAGAAGATCCGTCCTTATCAGCGTCAGACTGCTGCGGTTTGACTGGTCGGCGTTGTAATGTGTGCTTCTAGCCACCCTGACAACAGCAGTCCTTCCACTCCCCTGCCCGATTCTTGTATTGATGCGGCATACTGCCATCAAAACACAACGCGACTTCCTCCCCGACATTGCTATAAATGAGCTTCCGCTTTTGTGGAGCAGATGACGACGACTCCCGAGGCGTGGAGATTTTTGACCTGTTCAATCTGCGAGGTATAGAAGGCGCGACGGTCTTCTAGTATTTCCTCGCCTCCATGCCTTCGGGCGGCTCGGGCACGACGGTCTTGCTTCCCACGTTGCTCCAGTCTGTGCTGAGGACTGTACCGCCGCTCTCTTGGTAGGATTTCATCATTGCCCGCTGCTGTTCCGATGTGGCCCCGCTGTAGAGCTTCTTGAAGAAGTGACTGGTCTCATCGCCTTCAATCTCATCCTTGTCATCAAGATCTTCCGCGGCGAGCTTATCCCAGTTCTTGGCACCAGACTTGGATGATGTGGGGTATACAGGTGCGGAATCCTGGACTGACTTGCCAGTGAGGATGTGTTCAGGGATAGCCGACTTCGAGCCCTCAGCTCCGTCCACCATACGGTCGCCTTCGAGTGTCTTCCATTTCACGCCTTGTGATGCCTTTCTCAGGGTGATCTCAACCTTATTCGATGTGACGCGGAATTTCGATTCAGTAGGGTCGATGGGCGCATAAAGAGGGTCGACATTGAAGTTGTACTCTGCGCCAGCGCCCTCGACGGGGAAGGAGACTGATAATGAGTCCTTGTCAAAGTCGACTCTGACTTTGTCTTTTGGTGCACCCTTTGCCAGAATGTTGACAGTGACCGTATCGTTGCTCTGATACCAGTCGTCCTTGATCTTGTTGGCAGGAGTAGGTACGACTGGTTTGGGAGCTGCCGCAGGACTTGCCTCTGTATCCTCGGCAGTGGTTGTGTCCTGTGCGGTGCTAGGAGCCTCTAGGTCTGGCACGTCCTTCACCGTGACCTTCCTCTTCTCGTCACCCTCGGAGATCTCCTGTAGCTTCTTCGCGACCTTGGCAGTCCAGATGGGCAATGTCTTCTCCTTCTCGTCAAGCCTCTTCACGATCTCTAGAATGTGTTCGGCGTCGGCGTATCGTTCGAGGAAGAAGAGCTGCTGGGCGCGGCGAAATTGGGCGTCCTTGATCAGCTCTCGAGTAGCGCGTTTGTAGGCGAGGGCAACAGCGATTTCGGAGTCAGCGAGTGCTTCGGCGTACTTTTTGACACGCTGGTAAGCTGTAGCGCGGCCGATGTAGTATTTTACGGCGGCTGAATTCGACTTGATCGCGTCGGTGAAGTGCTGAATCGCTTCGTCATAGTTGCTGGCGCTGAGCGCAGCTTCGCCCTTGCGCGCGGCGTCCATGGCGGGGTAATCGGATTGGTGCAGCGAGCGTCTGTCGGATTATTGTAATTAACAATAGCGGTTGATGCAGAGAATGCAACTCGAAAGCTGATATAGCAGCCTAGTTTTATTGTAAAGATCGCGGTTTGATTTGTGAAAGGCAGCCATGGAAAGCTCTCGACGAACGATCCGGGGTCCATGCGCTAAGACCCCATTTGGCTAGCGTTCTTTGTTCTCTTCACTCGGGGCAGGACCGCGGCTGCCTCCACACATCATGTCCTGGTAATTGTTGCGCGAGACAGTGAGCTTGGAAGCCCGTCTCGATTGTAGGCCCACAGCAGGCCTAATGATCACTGTGTCGCGTTTCCGCGTTGAGATTGACAGATGCCAACACCGACAACTGCGCCGCAGTTGGGTGCCCGAGAGTAATACCACCAACGAACCACGGCTCTTTCCCAAGCGCCACCACAGCAAGATCCCAGACCAGTGTATTCGGGGATCACTTTGACGCCCGGGAGTACCATGAACGGCTGTCCCAACTGCTCAACCGACAGCGCAGGATCTCTAGTGCCCGCGAGGCACAGCAAATGAAACGCACATAAAGGAGTGAATTCAACAAAGACTGAGTGCAAAAGCCGTGACGGCTGACCTTGACCTTGACAGCCTTGCAACAAAGTACTCCGCAACCATGCTCAACTTCTTCTTTCTTGCCGCAGCACCACTTCTGTCGAGCGCACAGCAGATCCAGCAGCCGCTCAAGGAACATCGACCTGAACTTGTCATTCCGTTGAAGGTAAGGCCGCAGTATTTTGCAATGCTAAACGCTGTGCTAACACTTTCCGAGCTGAATGATAAGAGGACCTACACGTTTGAGTCTGCCCTCGACGGTACCAGACTGCTGTCCTCGAAGGCAGTTGCGGACATCGAGAGCTATCATGAGATCAATTCTCACCCACAGACAGTCTTGGTCAACATCCCGCTCGATGATTCCAGGCCAGGCAGTATGATCCTCGGTACCGTGGAGTCGAACAATGCTCGGATTCACCAAGACATCACGTGGACGGACACTTTGACGCCAGGCGAGCATATGCCAATCACTCATGTCGCCATTCGCAAAGGCGCAATGGTCTCCAAGGACGCATACTACACACGGCTCGCGCTGGAGACGCCCTACATCTCTCTTCCTGGCGAGATCTATGACATCCTTGTCCAGGCGACTAACCCCACACCTCACGAGCATGGTGATGGATCCGACAACGTTGTAGACTGTAGCGCTCTCGACAGGTACCCAGATCTGGTGCTTGGCCTGGAGCCTGAGACCGAAGAGGAAGAGGACGACGAAGAGGCCGAGGACAGGGAGATCGTAATTACACCCAAGCAATACGTCTTGGAGACTGGGGAAGGTCGATGCATACTATTAGCCCAGCGAGCTTACCAACGGGGTCGCGAAGAGGTAGTCCTTGGGTGGGCCGCAGTAAGAGGACGAGATTTGGTGCTGGACTGGGTCAATGAGAGAACAGGCTTTGGGAGATGAAGCTCAATCTGTCAAATCATGCAAATCACGATTAAATCACTACCTACATAGACAATGCTTACCTGTACATATTTACAACGACGAACAGCTTTGTGTCGATGGGTTGACAGCCTCGCCGTGCAGCACGTGCAAGCTGACCACGGGCTCTGGGCGCGGAAGTGAGGGCGGGCTGTCGTGTTTCAGGCCGCCGAACATTCTTGCAGACCTCACCTGCACGACACACAAGCTTCTCGCTCCCTTCCAAGGGTTGTGTAATAATTCGATACGAGATGCAGCCGGTATACGACGCGCATGCGGGCCTCTGCGGCTTGCCACTGCGCAGCTTGCCAGCTCGCCGCGCACTTTGACCAAGACACGAGCAGCCCCCCAACAATACGCCGACGCCAGATGGCAACAGCGCGAGGTAAATACCAAGTGCTGCTCGTGTGCATGACTCTGCTACAGTCGGTACTCGCAGGAATCTACGCTGCACTTTCTAATGTCTTGTCAGCGATTGCCAGTCTCAAATGCTCGGCGTTGCTGTCATTTCCCGGCTGTTCTTGTCTCGGATACCAAGCGCTGTCGTTGTTTCAGTCGCTTTCCCGTCTGTCAACCTCGCCCTCTCGGACTTGATTTTGCGCATTTATTCAACGAGGCTGTGCAGCAGCAGGGCGAACGCGCAACTGTGCTCCAACAAGACTCTTGTCAAGAAGGCGTTGTTGTCAGCTATTGGGAGGCTGCCCCTGACCAAGGCTGGGCGTATGCAAAGCGCGCCGCTCACCATTCATACCCGGGCCTTGGCCGCTTGGCCTGACCTCCCGCTGCGATTGCTGCCGCCACCCGCCAACACCGCAGGACTTGGCTTGGAGCCCGCCAGGCAAGACGATAAGGGTTGGCAGTTCCACATGTAGGATGTCGGGGCCTACCAAGACATTGGGGCTTCTGCTTCAAATAACTTTACTCCCGGACTCCGTTTTCTCTCTTTCAATGCCTTTTGTTTGACCGTCTTCAACCAAACCCGTTCCTCTTTACCAGTCACTCGTTAGACTCTCTTGCGCCTTCTATAGCATTTTAATTTCTCTTCTGTGTACGGTCAACGTCATGAAGCTCATTCTCCTTTCCGCGCTCGGCGCAGCTATCAGCCCAGTATTCGCCAGCGTTGTCGCTCGCCAGAGCGCATCAAAGGGAAACCTGACCCCAGTCACCGTTAAAGGCAATGCCTTCTTCGCCGGCAACAACCGTTTCTACGTTCGTGGTGTTGCCTACCAGCCAGGTTTGTTGTTCCACGACAGGAGACGGATGTAACGGCATTCATTAACATATGATAGGTGGTGCGGCTGATGCTAAGGACCCTCTCCTCGATATTGAAAGCCTCAAGCGCGATGTCGCCAACTTCAAGGACCTTGGAATCAACACCATCCGTATCTACACCGTCGACAACTCCAAGAACCACGATGAGGGTATGAAGATCCTCGACGATGCCGGCATCTACCTGGCTCTCGATGCCAACACCCCCGAGTACTCCCTCAACCGTGAGACTAACGCCACTCTCCACCGCTCGTACAACGATGTCTACCTTCAGTCCGTCTTTGCTACAATCGAGGCGTTCCATAACTACAACAACCTTCTCCTCTTGTTCTCCGGTAACGAGGTTATTAACGAACGCAACAACACCGGAGCTGCCACCTACATCAAGGCTGTCACCCGTGACATGAAGCGCTTCATTGGCAACACATCTCCCCGTACCATCCCCGTCGGGTACTCCGCTGCCGATGTTTCCGAGAATATTGAGGAGCAGGCTCTGTTCTTCAACTGCGGCACCGACGACGAGCGCTCTGACTTCTTCGCTTTCAACGACTACTCTTGGTGCGATCCCTCTAGCTTCACCCAGTCTGGCTGGGACAAGAAGGTCGAGCTCTACAGCAACTACAGCAAGCCCATCTTCCTCTCCGAGTACGGTTGCATCACCAACCGCCGTGACTGGGGTGAGGTCGCTGCTATCTACTCCACCAACATGACCGGTGTCTACTCTGGTGGTCTCGCTTACGAGTACACCGTCGAGCCCAACGGTTACGGTCTTGTCGAGATCAACTCCAACGGTGACATCGAGCCCAACGCGGACTTTGAGCGCCTGAAGAAAGCTTTTGCTGCCACAGACAACCCCACTGGCGCCGGCGGTTACCGCGAGAACGGCAAGGCCTCTGAGTGTCCTTCTGAGTCTGAGGACTGGGAGGTTAGCAGCAGTGTTCTGCCCGCTATGCCCAAGAATGCCGAGAAGTACATGTCCGGTGATGTCGGCCCAGGTCCCGGTCTTGACGGCGCTGGCTCCCACTTCTCTGGTCAGGCCTCCGAGTCCACCGCCACTGCCGGTTCCGGACAGCCCACTCGCTCTGCTAGCCCCAGCAGCAGCGGCAGCAGCGACTCCACCGGCGCTGCTCCTGGTATGGAAGTTCCTATCAAGATGATGGGTGTCGTTGGTGCTGGTGTCGTCTTTGGCGCTGCTCTGCTTTTCTAGATTGAGTATGCGTCGAGAAGTGGCTGTAGGAACTGCATTGAGTGAGCAAAAATACCCGTAGCATAGTGTAGAGGTGTGCTTTACGTAGTTGGAGTTTTTCTCATCTGTAATCTTAACCAAATTTGGCATGTAGTATTCTCATAGTCGACCATTGCGCGGCGTGACTGCTTTCTACCTTCCTGTAACATTCAACAGTTTGTGACTGAGCTTCCGAAGTAGTTTCCGCGGAATGCGCGAGCACAGCTAGCAACACACCTGCACGACATTCTACACTCCTAGCTCTCTCAAGATATCTAACACTACTGTATCAATACATCACCTCTAGGATGACAGCGATGGCTTTGAAATATTGTTGCTGGTGGTGGTCTATTCTCACGTAGCGCATCGCCAGTTTCTACTCATGCCACGTACAGAGTCATTTTAGTTGCCCAAATGTGATCATTCGCCTCCCAAGCTGCATGCATAGTAGCAGGGATGCCTCGTCTGTACATGGATATTGGAACTTTGTTCTAGCGATGATATCACTGCGGGTTGGTTTTCCCACTCAAGACATGTGCCATGAAACAGTCACTGACTTGTAATGTTGGTTTGCAGCACATGCGTTCGCTCTCGTCATTCTGCATAGTGTCCCACAGATGCAGCTTCATGGAAATCCTTAGACTGCTTAGAGACAGGAGCGGACTGACGCGAAATTCTGCCTCTCCGTCCTTGAATCCTGCGCAAAGGCCGATCTGGTCGCTGTCCACTTTGCCAAAGTCACCGCAGAGACTATCGCCCGCCCAAATCCGCGCCTCGTATCATGACCATAGCGGACCGTACGCGCCGCTCGTAAGCTCTTTGTATCCCCGCAATAATCATTACTAACATAACTGCAGTTGTCGAGCCCCAATTGTGCCCTTCACGCCAACCTTGCGCCGTCAACATACTCTAGCATGTGCAAGTTCGCTAAGGAATTTAGCAAGCCGTCCTGCCTTTTCCTCCACCCTCAGCCGGAGAATGAGTATAAAGATAGAATCACTATGCTGGACAGGAGGCCCCCAAAGAAGAGCAAGCACTGAGGTTGACGAGGGGATGGGAGAGACGTATGAGTCGGGCATATTAAAGAGAGTAGTCCTACCAATATCAGATGCGCTAGAGTTATAGTTAGATTCCTTTGATAATTTTAGGATCAGAGTTAAGACTTGCGTATCAAGACATGTAGCGAACGTGGAGCGCGGTTGCACACCATTCCGGTTCTGTTTCGGGAAGGCATGAGAATGTATCTTACTGTTCGAATGCCCTTGTTCGAACAACTGCTGGAGGCGAATGCTCCGAAAGCGAATCTCGGTCATCAAGTGTCATTACCCCCATCGTTCTTGTATGTACCACCAAATCCCCTATATAGCATATACACCCAAAGAAAAATGGTTCACACCATCACTCCCGTCTCCCGCTTTGCTCGGCCATCCAGCAGCCGCCGGAAGCACTCCTTGATATCGCTTGCCAGCTGCACCGGCGCCTCCCAAGTGGGCATCTCCGCAACATCCTGATGTCTCCTGACCCATTGGATCGGCCATGACGACGCACCCCACATCAGCGGTGTCGAAGCGCCGTGCGTTCGGAAACTGCTAATGCCCAGAGGAACAGTGCAATACGCGTTCGAGGGATTCGATGTCTCGATGTGCGCTCGCCGCAGCCAGCGGAGCCCGGCTTCAGCGCCTGGGAGCCACATCCTGGAAACGATGAGTATGCAGTGAGAAGGGGAGGAAGGACGACTTACATCATTGTCCAATTCAACACGTCTGTCGGGCTCCACGCTCTCCTCTCCCCAGCAGTCTTGCCCGCGCCGCCATTCAGAGAAGCCCTCGCTGTGTGATCCGAGCGCACGCACTCGTGTCCCGCGGCCTCGTACTCCCGGTCCTGAATCTCCAGCTCCCCAGGATCCAAGAATGGCGATCGCGGCCGGACAGCCAGTGGGGATGCGGGGCCTTGCGTCGCGATGAGATCGAGGAGGACCGCCAGCAGTCCCGCGGGCGAATCGCACAGCGAAAACGCAAGAGTCTGCGGCCGGAGAGAGAAGAGCTGGTGCATGGCTGGCCCGAGCGGTCGTCCGATCGCCGTCGGCTGATCTAGCAGTTCCGAGGTGGTGACTTCTGAGGGCGTGTATCCGAAGCTCACTGCTGGATACCGGGCCTTGGTGAATCGCGCCAACTGCCACTTGGTCCAGGCGGTCGGTTGCGACCTCATTGCCGGCGCGGTAAAGACGGGGTTCCACGTATGCAGTCCCAGCACTCTGCCTGGCTCTGTCAAAGCTAGAGCTTTGGCGACTTCGAACCCCCAGCCCCCTGAACAGACAACGTACTCGTCATACCCCAGTCTCTGCATCAGCGCCCCAAAGACCCCGGCCGCTCCCGAGGCGCCGAAGTCTGCTTCTTCGCTCGCGTCGCTGAACCCGAAACCCGGTATGCTGGGGCATATCACGTGGAACGCTAGCTCGTCTTTGGCGTCTGTGCCGTCTGTCGGAGTGGAGTTGGGGTTCACGAGCCCATCAATAATACGCTGGATCTCAATGAAACTCCCCGGCCACCCATGGATATACAGCAGTGGCACAGCGTTGACGCGGGACGAGCGGGCGTGCACGAAGTGCGTGCGAATCGGTTTCCGCTCTTGTCCTTCGCTTCCCGGGGGAAGTGTTATGAGCGTACGGAACTGAGGGAGTCTTGTGTTGAACTGCTCTTCCTGTTTGCGCCAGTCGTACGCTTCGAGCCAGTGGTCCAGCAATGGTTCCAGAGCGCTTTTGGGCGTGCCGAGTGCCCACTGTTCGGATGAAGTGAGCACTGCGTTTTCCTTGGGGAGGCGCGTGATCTCTAGTTTCTGCTTCGTTCGGTCCAGATAGCGGGAGGAGACCTGCTGGAGTTAGGAAAGAGATGCGAGATAGGGAGTTTACGTACGTGCATGCTGTACGGCACGATAGCGTCTATTTCCTCTTGTATCGTTTGCATTGTGCGGGCCATGGTGGGTGGTTGCCAGGCACAGCTACGTTACTGGGGAGGTAAAGTTTGGTACTAGACGGTCACATAGCGGGTACAAAACTCAGGGGACAAGCGACAGGGGAGCGCGAGGGCGTCCCCAGTTTATGGGAACTGATGGTCAGAGAAGCTATAACGCACCAATGTAGCGTCTCGACCATGGAGAAGTGCTCAAAAAAGCAAGGCATTTCCAGATGCAGTAGGGAACTACTGTAGTACGTCAGGCATGCATGGAGCGTGCGCGTACTTACAACACGGTAACGTCGAAGAATAGGGTCTAGATTGTATATTTAGTTACTTCGTGTATGCTGATTCGTTGTGTCATCTCCAGTGACGGTTTGTCGTTCGATATTATGCAGAGCTGTCGCCACCCTGTGGCTATGCACCGCCACCCCGTCGATTTTTAGGGTCCAGCGATCGACATACAGATTACCGGATTGAGTGCAGGAAGCGAGACCTGGTCCAGGAACACCAATCAGCGGGTGCAGCCAACGAATACCGAGTGACTTCAGTAGGCTCGCCAGGCTCGGCCGACCCGTCGTTACTCCCGGGGGCACCCCAGACCAGCCATCTGCCGTGGAGATACACCTCGCAAACGACAGCCTACTACACATCTCTGACACCCGTCTGGGCGCCATTACCCCCCGCGCCTCTCCCTGCTGGCGGCGGCGTAGCACTTCCCGGCACTGCACGTCCCAGGTTCAGACTCCCAATCCGCTGCACCAGATTGCTTCCGACAGCATCCACAGCCCCTCTCGGTGCAAGCAGACTCGGCGTTTGGCTCTCGCCCTGCTGCACCCTAAACAAGCGGATGCTGGTGTTATTCCATACGCCCGCGGTGCCCTTGGCGACTACCATTTCACTGGCGAACACAAAACCCCAGAGCAGGGATTCGTACCAGCCTAAAGATAGGGTAGACCATTCGAAAAGGTGCACGCGGATTGGTGAAGGCTCAATGCTGGGGATCGTGGTGGATTTGATGGTGTTGAGGGCGGTTGTTGTGTCGGTGCTGGAGTCGAGCAGAGGGGTCAGGGTTTGGATGAGCATGAGTGTGGTGTGTAGAGGGAGCTCGCTGAGCCAGGACTCGAGCTGTGACTTGTTAGCATTGTGCACGTCAGTTGGTGGAAGAGATGGAGCGTACCCATGTGACTGATGGCGTGAAAAACTCGTTCGCACCAAAATTGGGTACTGCGCTGATGCTGGCCAGGCTTGTCATGCTGTTCTGGCGTGAGAATGTGGGTTGTCCGACTGGCATCTTCCCCCGCGCTTTCTCGGACATGCCGCGTAGTTGTAGAGGGACAGACTCATCTACAGAAGAGGCTATCGATGCGCTACGCGATGCACCGCGCGAGCCATCAGGCGGTGGCTGTACTGGTGACCTCGGAAGCGGCAGCGGGGTCGTCTCCTCAGCATCAGAATCGTCTTCGTCGTCGCTGCCAATGGCGAAGGCACTATTTTCTTCGGGCACATTTCCCAAAGAAGGCGTGCGTGCAGCTGTAGGACTTCGCAAGCTGTCAATGGACGTCTGCCTGGATAGCTCTGCTCCATTGCCCTCTTTGCGCAGCTGATTCTGGCGCTCAATCTCTTCTTGTCCGCTCTCGAGTGTGAAATCTCGTAGTACCTGGAACTTCTTCTTTGACCGTATAATAGCGTACACCAAGTTGGGGTTATCTAAGGGTTATCAGCAATTGAGCATCATGAGTCTATTTGGCCGGCACTTACGCCCATACTGGTGCTCGACCATTGCGTTGATCGCTTCGAGCAACGAATGCAGGAGGGTGTGGTTGTTGTCGTTAGCCAGCAAGAAGCTAGGCGATGACATGGACGCGAAGAGCTGGAGCAGCTTCGAGCTTGGGGCGCGTCCGAGATTCTGCACGTAGGCAGCTATGTTGTTCACAATAGCAAGCAAAGCCGGATATATGGGTTCCAGCTTGCCCTTGCCCGTGGTGAGCAATGTGTAGATAGACTGCAATGGTCAGCTAATGTCAGTACACGCGTTGGCAGACTTACCGTGATGACGTAGTCGGCATAGGTACCGTGGAAGTTCGGTATCCTGATGCTTGGAGGTAGTGACTCTTGTCCCTCGAAGACCTTGTTCAAGCTCTTGCCGAATTGAGGCTCGACGCTCAAGGTCTGCAGCACGAAGACGCACATGCGCACAAGACCTTGCTTGGAAGGATCGTTGCGCTGATCGATTGCATAGTACAGCACTAGCACCACAAAGTCATGGGCCCTGTCTGTATCGATGATGAAAGAGCGGAAGCGCTTGTTGCACTGAAGAGCCTCCCAAAACAACATGATCATCTCCGGCGCCCAAGTCAGCGACTTGTGGCTGCCGGGTAGGTATGTTGTGTTCGCTTGGAGCTATCTCTTGTCAGTTTGGAGCAGGAGTGTCGTGGAAGGGTCGACGAACAGGCTGATTCAGAATCCTAGTCATGCCATCAACGAGGAACTGGAAGTCCTGTGGGCGGTGCAGACGTCCAAGGAAATGTCTGAAGAAGTTCTTCGGCGCAGGTCCATTGCCGGCCTCAGGTATTGGGTACAGTATCAGCACCAGAAGTAGTTGTAAGCAGTAGGTGACCAGAATCTGTCGTTGGTCCTTGAACACTACGTGGTCGTACGGGACGCGCCATGTTGCAGGGTTGTATTTGAGTGTCTGCAAAGGATCAGTACGAAGTGCACAAGACGGAGTATAAGACCTACTGTATTCAGCATCGAGCAGAGAACCGATAGGACAACCTGCTTCTCTGGACAAGTTGCCATGTATGTGATGGCTCTGACTCCCTTCACTGGTAGGATAGCTGCAGTGTGTCAGCGTTGCGTTGTGCTGTCGGGCTGAAGGCTCAGCATACCTGCTGACATGTACATGGACTTGCTGGCAAAGGCGAGCAGCAGCCTCAGTATCTCTGTCCTGTTGCTCTCCAACTCCTTCGTCGAGGCCACGGGTGTGTTGCAGCCAACGCCGCTCTGCCATATGGCGTATGAGACCTTGTTCTTGCCAGCCGGCACCTTCGGCAGCGTAAACTCGGAGAAGAACAGCAGGTCGATCAGCGTGTCTATGATCTCCTCGGCAAGCGGCTTTGCCTTTGTGAACTCGGGCTCAGCCTCGGTCGGCGTTGGGTCGGGGTCAGACTCGTCGAAGATGACCTCGCTCTTCAGCAGCTGGGCCCGCCGACTGCGCTTCCGGCGCTGGGCCCAGAAGAAGGTGTCTTCCCACGACTCCAGGTGGTCGGCCTCGTACACGAAAGGCAGCAGCCGTGTGAGGACCCGTATGCAGTTGAGCGCATCGCGTTCGGGCGCGAGGTCGGGGTCGGGGAAGGAGGGGTGGTTGCGCAGGACAACGAGACGCGAGGTGACGGCGAGGATCAGCGTCTCGAGGTTGGCGAGGTTGTTGTCGCGCGTGCGCCGTATGTCAGCGGGCGAGAAGAGCGAGAAGACGTCCTCGGTGCTCTCGGGCAGCTCCCAGAAGCCGGTCCAGTATTCATCGTCGGCGGGGATCTGCTTGGGCTCCGACAGGCGGAAGATGCCCTGCTTGAAGGTGAGTTTGGAGTCGGACGCGCCCATTGGAATGCATGTCACGGCTTCATGTGCGCATGGGGGCAGGTTGCATGTGTCGTATTGGTGCTGTCGCGGGAAACACCTCGGACCGTTGACGTCGGCGTGCAAAGCAAGGCAAACGCCGCCTCACGTCTGAGCCAAGCCCTCACATGTCAACGCGTCCAAGACATTTCACCTAACATGGTGCCAGAGTCATCGAGTCTATACAGCAGTGCCGCGATAGGAATCTCTGCAAGAGTCATCGTTGGAGCATCGCGTTGCATAGTCGCTGCGCCACAATGATGAAGGGTAGGCCCGCGTTGAGGCCTAGTCGTTGCGCCACAATGGTGAAGGGCAGGCTCTCGCTGACGTAACAATTAGTCCATTGATTGATTACCAGGCATCTCGCGCCACCAGCACGCTTCACATTGCACCCTCATCTCTCCCGTCCACAGCACCGTTACCGTCCAGGTCCCGCTTGCGCGCACACTCGCCGCCATCCGTAGCACAATCGCCAAAATTCGGGTTCACATGCACCGCCGTACATAGCGTATATCCCGCGTTCCAGCGCGCCGGCAGCGCGCAACGGTCCTCCACTATGCCGCCTAAACGCAAGCTGCAGACGGCGGCGGAGGCCGAGGCCGAGGATGCGTACGATGACGGAGACGTTGGGCCTATGAGTGACCAGGAGATGTTCGACACCCTCAAGGACCAGTTCGATGTCAAAGCTATGACGAAACGGGCACGGGCAACGCAACCAAGAGATGCAGCTGCCCATTTGTTCAGGAAGTCTGATCAGTCGCACGCGCCTCTGAAGCCGGACCAGCAGAATCGGCCTCTCTGGGTCAACGACACAGGCGGTATCATTATCGAGTCGTTTCACCCTCTCTTCGACGAGGCGCAGGACTTCTTGATCAATATTGCTGAACCTCAGTCGCGTGTATCGAAGATGCACGAGTACCAACTTACCACACACAGTCTGTTCGCTGCCGTCAGTGTCGGTCACTCAAGTCAAGAGATCATCGACAAGCTCGACAAGTACTCGAAGACAGCCCTGTCTGACTCGCTCATCCAGTTCGTGGAAAAGTCCACCTCAGCTTTCGGCAAAGCCAAGATTGTCTTGAAAAAGACACTTTCGTTCATCGAAAGTGAAGACCCGACCATCCTGAACAAGCTCCTCCGTGATCCCATCGTGGCCGAGTGCAGGGCAGACCAGACTGACGGCCTCATCAAGGAAGCCGCTCCGAAGATAGGTCAAATGGCTATTCCTGGTACCAAGCTGGCTGCTGGAGCCAATCAAATCGTACAAGCATCTGGCGCAGAGCCAGCGCCTGCAGAAATGATTGCAACGTTGCGAGAAGACGATGATGATGACGAGATAGCCCAAGTGCACTCCTTCCAAATCAAGAGTGATGAAAGGGAACGAGTTGTAAAGCGCTGTCGAGCCATAGGTCTCCCTCTAACGGAAGAGTACGACTTCAACAACGACATGAAGAATCCCAACCTCGAGATCGATCTGAAGCCGCACGCCCAGATCCGTTACTACCAGGAGAAGGCTCTGAGTAAGATGTTCTCAAACTCCCGAGCGCGTTCAGGTATCATCGTTCTGCCGTGTGGCGCAGGTAAGACTCTTGTCGGCATCACAGCAGCATGTGGTGTCAAGAAGTCGGTCATCGTTCTCTGTACAAGCGCCATGAGTGTCGTCCAGTGGAGAGCCGAGTTTATCAAATGGTCGAACATCAATCCAGAAGATATTGCGGTCTTCACAGCGGAGAACAAAGCCGTATTTCCCCGCAACGCTGGCATTATCATCAGCACATATTCCATGATAAGTACCGTTCAAAAGCGATCGCACGATGCCGAGAAGGTGATGAACTTCATCAGGGAGCGAGAATGGGGTTTGTTGATTGCTGATGAAGTGCATGTCGTGCCTGCCAACATCTTCAAGAAGGTCACATACCAGATTGCGTCTCACGCAAAGCTCGGACTCACCGCTACGCTGCTGCGAGAAGACGACAAGATTGACGACCTTAACTTCCTCGTCGGACCCAAGCTGTACGAAGCCAATTGGCAGGAGCTTTCAGAACAAGGTCATATTGCCCGAGTGCAGTGCGCTGAAGTATGGTGTCAGATGACGCCGGAGTTCTACCAGGAGTGGCTTAAACCGGCTTCACTGCAAAAGCGAGCACTGCTGTCGATCATGAACCCACGAAAGTTCCAGGCGTGCCAGTTCCTCATCGACTACCACGAGTCGCGAGGAGACAAAATAATAGTATTCTCGGACAACGTCTACGCCTTGGAGAAGTACTCCCGCAAGCTCGGCAAGGCGTACATTTACGGAGCAACGCCACAAAACGAGCGCCTCCGCATTCTCGAGAACTTCCAGCACAATCCACTTGTCAACACCATCTTCCTCTCCAAGATCGGCGACACAAGTCTCGATCTCCCAGAAGCCACTTGCCTCATCCAAATATCCTCGCACTACGGCTCGCGGCGACAAGAAGCGCAACGCCTGGGCCGCATTCTCCGTGCGAAGCGCCGAAATGACGAAGGCTTCAACGCGTTCTTCTACTCACTCGTCTCCAAAGACACGGACGAGATGTTCTACTCGTCAAAACGGCAAGCGTTCCTCGTCGACCAAGGCTACGCCTTCAAAGTCATCACGCGCCTTGAGGGCATCGAGAAGCACGAAAACATTGCCTTCAACACACCCCAGGACCGTCGCGAGCTGCTTATGGATGTCCTGCTTGCGAAGGAGGAGGACGCCAAGACTGAGAATATCCAGGGCGATTCGTTCGGCAGCAACTACGCGAGCACCATGGGAAAGAAGAAGAAGAAGGGCGCCGTGAGGAGGACAGCGGGCGCGTTGAGCGAGTACTCGGGTGGCCAGGATATGGCGTACCTGGAGACGAATAAGAGCAGGAACAAGGAGCTGAAGGGCGTCAAGGGTGTCAAGAACTCCTTCTTGAAGGGCTTGGCGAGGACCAGTGGGAAGAAATAGGCGCTGGTAGTCGGGACTTTCCCCTTGCCAGGACCAGATGTATCTGTATGCAAATTGTACACTGCCATTTCGATCTTCAAGGATGTGGATCGTATCACTTTTCATCAAGCTCTCAAATTGTCTCACCCGTGACTTCACTCCGATTCTGTCCTTCTGGAGAAAAGTTTAATAAAGGGACAACGAAGCATGAAGACGAACAGAGATCCAGGATTGTCAAGAACGTCTACTCTACCTCACACAAGTCGCAAATCGCGATTATTCGATTGTGACAGTAACGGGCCGGATCTATCGTCGATCTGATCGGTGACGTGGGGCGCCCAACACCGCAATTTTCGAACCACCACGCGACTCAGCTTCTCTTCCTAACAACACAACAGCAGCCATTGCCGTGACGTGCTCCTCTTTACACCGGTTCTTGATAAAGCGTACGTTATTTGCCTTAAACTCATTGCTCGCCCACAGCGTCTTAGCTGCCCGCAATTCGCGAAATTTCCGCACCGACTCACATTTGCGCCCAACAGCAATTGCATCGCACGCTCCACGCCACCCCGGCACTCGACGCCGTCAAGCTGGCAGACTCACCACCCACGTTTTCCAATACTGCATAGGCTGTGACAGCCCGCAGACGAACTTCAACCCGCCCTAATCCGACCTTCTATGCGTCAAGAGGACCTGGTACGCTTTCTGTCCAAGCCTGCGAAGTGAGTTCAGTCTCCAGCGCGCGAACCCAACCCAATATCAACTCCCAAGTTGAGCCCTCACGTCCATCAGCCAGCTGACTTGATGCAGGCCTAGATAACACCCGCTACTTCCACGCCCACTACCACCCTTTTACCTACCCTTTTACCCACCCTTGAGCAGATCCCTCGTCTGCTGGACCCGATACTTTCACAGGGTATCGGAATCTAGTCGGTCGAGGCGCAACGACTGACATCATTCCGCGGCGCAAAGCCTCGTATCTTCCGCCCAACTCTCGCCCTCCCTAACGTCCTCTACGGTCGTTTCCTGCATAATACGCCTGCTGCTGGCACCAGCCAGCCTCTTCGAACCCAGTCCCTCGTGGGCCTTCTCTCCTCAGCCAAGCACCGCATTGCTTGTCTGAGCAGTAGACAGTGCTTCACTGCTCGTCAGTTAGCCGTCCTCTACCCGAATATCCGCGCTCTCGCTCCACGCCGCCGCTCCGCCAACGAATACTCCGCGCGCACCGACGCCCGATAGCCAAGAGATGGTCGCTACTGACATCCCCAAGAACTACACCGCGTCGCCGTCTTCGCACATGGGCACGCCCTCTTTGACTATCAACAAGGAAGCCACCATCGACCTTGATTCCACCAACTCTTTCGAGGGTCCTGAGAAGCTCCTGGAAGTATGGTTTAGCTCCTCTGCCACCGACCTGCCGGGCCAGGCCGGCCCGTTGGGCCTCAAGAAAGTGTCTGCCGATGTCTGGAAGGAGATGCTCGACCTCGTCAACTGCAAAGTACTGTCCGTCATCGAGTCCGAGCATGTCGATGCCTACCTGCTCTCCGAGTCCAGCATGTTCGTGTTCCCCCACAAGGTCGTGCTGAAGACCTGTGGCACCACCACCCTCCTCTGGGGTCTCACTCGTCTGCTCGAGATCGCTGCTGTCAATGCGGGCTTCCCTTACGTTCAGCCGGCGCCCGGCACTGGCCTCGCAGCTTCTGCCACGCCCTACCGCGTCTTCTACAGCAGGAAGAACTTCCTCCACCCCGAGGCTCAGCAAGGTCCCCACCGAAGCTGGCGCGACGAAGTCCGCTTTTTGGACCAGCGTTTCAAGGGCGGCAGTGCCTACATGATTGGCAAGATGAACGGAGAGCACTGGTACCTTTACATCACGGGTCCCGATACTACCTTGACTCCGCCCCCCAGCCCCGGCTCTGAAGAGCGCCCCGAGACGGAGACCAAGTATGTGAAGCTTCCTGAGCGCATGCTGCCAGAGATGAACACCGATGAAGAGGAGGATGAGACTCTGGAGATACTCATGACCGACCTCGATGTGAAGAACGCGCGTCAGTTCTATCTCGAGGACGCGAGTGCGGTCGCGGAGGGTCGCTATGTCCAGAGGGCTCGTGAGGCCCGCAAGAACGCCATTCAGTCGCTTGGTTCCATTCCCGAGGGCGAGTGCGAGAGCCTTGGTGGCTCCACGGTTCTCAACTCGACTGCCACCACCCACATCTCGGATGAGAGCTTCGATGTCTTCGAGCAGACCTCTTCCGACCACTCTGGCTTCAACTCTGACGAAGAACTCTCCTTCCCCGAAGAGTTGACCACCGAGGGCCACACGCTCGGCACCATCGTCTCCGAGCACTGCGGCCTGGCCGATGTCTACCCCACCTCGAAGTACCCCGACGCCCGCATCGACGCCTACCTCTTCACCCCCTGCGGCTTCTCCGCCAACGGCGTCGTCCCCGCTCCCGGTGGCGCGCCCAACGGCTCGAAGAAGGGCTCCGACGCCACCCACTACTTCACCGTGCACGTCACTCCCGAGCCGCACTGCTCGTACGCCTCGTTCGAGACCAATGTTCCGGCTCGCCAGAGCGGTCGCGAGACGGCTGATGTTATCGAGCATGTCATTGGCATCTTCAAGCCAGGCCGCTTCAGCATCACCTTGTTCGAAGCTAAGCCCTCGCCTGATGAGCTTCCGGGCAAGAACGTCGAGAAGAGCAAGCGCGTGGAGACCATCCCCGGTTACCGCCGTGTTGACCGTATCGTGCACGACCTTGAGGGATACGATCTCGTGTTCAGGTACTACGAGCGTGACGACTGGAAGGGTGGTAAGCCTAGGCTAGGTGAGATCTTCTAGGCGCTTGTCGGTGGATGGTCTTGGATTGGTCTGGAGGCAGGTGTAGTGCTACTGAGGATGCGATGAGGGAACGGCGGACAATCATTGGACTTTTCGTGGACATTCTATTGACGCCCTATCACTACACTTGTTCGTACTGTGCGTATTCTCTATTGGTATATCTTGTTCATCTCGTTCATCTTGTTTATCTCTGCAGAGTTTCTGCGTTAAAATCTGTCTATACAGCTTGCGTGGTGACTTTCTTCATTCAATCCTTCCCCTTCATATTCCAATTCATTAGAGCACTTTGCCATTACGGGTATGCCCAGGTGGGTTCGTTTAAGGCGAAATGTTAATCAGGTCGAAACAGTTTGTATACGGATGAGCATATGGGCCACTCCTTCAACTACCTTACAATGTTCGTCGTATATAAGAGCTGCTCGCGCCGTAGTTAGAGGGCATCAAGTCTAGTCAGAATCCTTCAGAACCAATCACCATGAAGTTCTCTGATCATCATCCTGCTCTTCAGCTCGGCGGGCTCGCTCGCCGCCCCCCCGTCTCGGAGGCCGACGTGGAGGGCCTGTCCAGTCGCCAGGCAGCGCAGAGCATCGACACTACCATGAAGAAGAAGGGCAGGAAGTACTTTGATACCGCCAGCGACTCGGGCAGTTTTAACCCAGGGCAGCAACGGGGCGATCATCAATGCGAACTTTGGCCAGATCACGCCGGAGAACAGATACATCACCCCCGCTCACCTCAATGTGGATTGTATAGCAGGTGAACAGAGCTCACGCCATGTAAAGTATGAAATTGGACGTCACCAAGTACTCGCGCGGAAACTTCAACTTCAGCACCGCCGACCAGATAGGTGACTTCGCGACCTCCAACGGCGAGCTGCGCCGTGGCCACACCGCGGTCTGGCTCAGCTAGCCGCCGTCCTGGGTGTCCAGCATCGACGACAAGGCGACTCTCACCACCGCGATGCAGAACCACATCACGCACAGCTGATGAAGTGCCGGAAGTACAAAGGTGTACGCCTGGCACGTCATTAACGAGGTGTTCGAGGAGAACGGCTCCCTCCGCCCCTCCGTCTTCTACAACGGTAGGCTGCTACATTCTCTTGTACATAATTTTTCTGGTCTGGGGACTGGGGATGTCAACGTGGCGAACAGTTGTCGCTTGCAGGTGGAAGTGGTACGCGATTCTTATTCGATACTTCAATTTGAATTGAGGGTCGCAACTATGCTGGTGCCAGCACTCAGTCTATCTTGTTCTCACGTCCGGTGATCTCCTTCTCTTCCTGCGCACTCCTCGCAGCCTTCATAATGGCCAGACCGGCATTCTCACTCGCTTCATCGTCAGCCTGCCTTGTCCAAAACAGGTCCGCTGCCATGATGCGGACGCTTTTCCGTCGTTGAATCTCTGCCACACCGAGAAGTGACGGTTTCTCGGCGTTAGCCTCGAGCTCATCTAGCGTACGTTTGCGCTTTGCGTATCGTTCGGCTCTTTCCTTTCTGATCTGCTCTGAGCCGAGCTTGGCCAGCGAGAAACGGACGCCAGCCCTGAAGGCCATGAAGATGTGTTCGGATATCAGGATGGTAATGGGCAGACTAGCCCACAGGCCCAGGCCCATGCGCTCGCCAAGGAACTTCTGCGACCCGAACAGGTGTACGATAGCAGCGCTGGACAGGCTACCGAGCCAAGTCAAAGCCTCCAAGCTTGAGATCCAGGGTCCCAGTCCGTCGCTGCGTGTGGGTGCGGGGCGTTGGTACTCGACAGAGATCTTGAGGAAGTCAGAGCGGAGCTCGAACCAGTTGTTGATGAAGAAGCCGATAGGGACCAGCGGCCAGACAGGACTGAACAAGGCCAGGTAGCCAAACTGTATGACCATCTCGGCAATGTCATCTTGAACATTATATTCGGGCCTCAGCGCTTGCTTTCTCGCCCTGCGAAGGAATTTGGCCTCTCCTGGATCGTCAGGTGCGATATCTTGACCGGAGCCTCCGCGCTGATGCACCCTAGTCGCCTGGCGATCGCGCCACCACTGCTTGAACTGCGTCTTGAACCACGGAAGTGCCAGCTCTTCGATCGCGCCTGATACTTGTCCGGTCAAAGTAAGAGCAATGACTTCGTTGCGTAACCTGTCAGGGTCTGCAACAAATTTGATCTGCCCCCGTTCTTTGCTCCCAAGAACAGTATCAATGCAGTATTGCAGCATAGGTATGACTCGACTACCGAATGGAACGTACAGGAACGCGGTGATGAAGATGGGGAGGTAATTCGTGACCGAATTCAGTACGAAGATCTTCTGCGTCAGAGACATCTCGTGGTGGTCAGCGGTTCGGTGGTTCTCGTATTCGGTCATCTTGTCGGCTATATCTTCCAGGAAGTTTGTTGCATATGGTAGGAAGATACCAAGCACGACTGTCGGGAAATATTCCTGTCCCAAGTTAGCATTTGCCACACTATTGCGTACAATCGCCTCACCAGATAGAACTTGTACGGCCCCTCGTAGGCCTCGCTGATAAAGGTCTCGATAGCAAAGACAATAGCGATCAGCGCTCCAAGAAACACCGTGCTGACCACTACAAAGGGAATAACAAGTAGCTGTCGAACGATGCGCTTCCACCTCGGAAAGTGCTGACGCATCCTGCCAGCTGCATCGACGATGACGGATTCATGTTGGAATTGCGGGCGGTTTACTTTCAGGTTCCCAACCCCTCGCACCTCCCAGCGGATCGCCAAGTCCTGCTCCTTGATCTTCCAGTATTCCAGGAAGACAGTACACCAGATACCTATCATCAGCGCGAAGAGCAGCGAATACTGCGGTAGAAAGGCCCACGCGAAAATGCCGGCGATACATGGGAAGGCCAAGAAGCGGAAGTAGGTCTGGAGGAACGCAAAGTAGAAAGCAACTTTGGCTCCCCAAAGATCACGTATACGGTCGAGGTCGGCGATATCGAGGAAGAACTTCTTGCTCAGGTGGGTGAGTAGTCGGTTGTTGACCGGCTGGTTGTGTAGAGGGAAAATCGAAGACACGTTCTCCCACTGGCCGAATCCTGGAGTGATGCCTGCTCCTCCAAGCTCTTTGCGCCAATTGACTAAGTGGAAGACCGACAGCAGGTCTTCAGCCTCGAACTTAGCTGCAACCACACTGGACGCGGTGCCGCCAGGGTGCTGTTTGGTGATGCCATAGAGCCAGTCCTTCACTCTGTGCTCTGTCAGTCGTTGTGTAATCAGCAGCGACCAAACGACCTACCTTGACTTATATACGGTGTTACCAAGTAGTTCTCGAGGAACTTGTACGAAAACCAAGAGTGATTGATCATAGCCATGTCGAACCTCCGTGTTGAGTCCGGCGGAGTGTAGGTCTTTGATTAACACTGTGAACTCAGTGACCGCAGTTTCATGATCTGTAGGCTGTCAGTATATGTTCGACCTCAGCTTGTAGCTACACGTACCTACACTGCCGAAGTCATAGACCACGACATACTTGTCGTTATAGGTGACATTGGCCAGCTCTTGATCATCGCCAAGGGTCGTATCAGCTCTTCTCAGCTGCATGTCCAGATGGTAACGATCTAGCCACAACTAAGGATTGCGGGATGAGGCTCTAGAAGTTCGCGGATCAGCCCTGTGGCTGGTGTGTTTTTATAGGTTTTAGGGATGCGTCGTCATTGTGGCTATTTTCGGCCAAGACGGTGAATGTGGAGATGTGCGAGGCTGAGGATTGGTGGCTCAGGCGTGGGTCCGACGCACCGTCAGCACTTGGCTGCCGAAAGATCCGCGAAGGGCCCACAAGCGAGGCCAGGAGGAATATGAAGAGCAGACTTTCATTATTGCTTTTTTGAATGGTGGAATATTTGTCCAAGAAGGATTGAAGTCGAGCAGAGTAGCTGCAGCTCCAGAGACTAGACAGTACAGAAACGGGCGTGACGAATTCAGGACACGTGTGCACGTGCCAACGGTGAGAAAGGGAGGGCCAGCCAATCGTCTACCTACTGGTAGCGCATCGTTCGCTCCTCGGCGCGTCAACACCACCAATTAACTCAATACACCTTTGCTCTACAGCCACTCCTTGTCTTGTTGCACAGGGAGATATCGATCAACCAATACGAAGCACAATGCGCACGCCATTCGCATTGCCTGCACAAAGGAACGCACGGAAAGACGTGTAGCTTTAAGCTAAGCAGCGCAAACACGGACTGCTGTTCACCTGCAGAAGTATACAGATCATCCAGCAAGCAAGCAAAGTTTGATTCACGGCCAACATGTCGCTGAATGAAGTCACGGTATCCTTAAGTACCCCTATGCCAAAAGGCTATGGGTTCTTACCTAAGGGCATTCGATACAAGACGCTGCACTGTCGCAAGCTTACTCACAACGCAGGCAGAACGCTCTACATTGTTATAAATGCGAAGAAGCAGCAGCTCGGGTTGCGAGTACCTAACTTCATTCTGCATCAAGTACACAGGCAAGCAAAAGAGACTTTCTCAGCGAGACGTGCTGCAGTAGAGAAGCGCGACGCTGCTTCGATCGACGCTGCAACTGCCGAGCTTGAGGAGCAGTTTCCCACGATGCCAGAGGAAGAGAACATACTGGTATTGAAGCATGGTTTCAGGAAGCATTCAGGGCGCGTTGGCAGAACCGGTACAATTCCGCTACCACGCAAGGTCCTGTTGGCCGTCATCGCCCACGTACGGCACCGACACACAAAGTACGATAGTCTGTTGGCACGTCACGTGGAGAGAACTGTTGCGAGAAAGGCTGTCAACAGAAATATTGAGAGCGTCATGCGAAATTGGGGCTATGTAGAAGGTAGGAACAGATGGAAGGGCTGATTGAATCGTTGAATCGATTGCTAAATTCTCGCAACAGACTTGTCCTGGTACTTTAAGGATGAGCAGTCAGGCTCGAGTGAGGATAGTGAAGAGGAGTGATAGTAGTAGCGTAGTAGGTGACCTGGCAACTACGGGCCGCACACCCTCCGACGAGCTCTCGCGTGGGACCGCTCGTAGAGTCTCGCAGAACACCTCTGCATCACGGGTCCGGCTATCCATGCGAGTCGATATCCAAATTGAAGATGCAAGTTAGTGTGGTTTAAGGGTCGGCCTCCTCCATCTGGGGCCCGAGAAACATGTCTGCAAAACCTATCAGAGCAGCAGCCACACTGCTAGCGTTCCCTGGATCTTACCCAATAAGCTTGGTAAGTTCAACACCGAAGAGGCTGCGAACGACACGATTGGTCCTAACAAGAAGCAAGTTCGCGATTCGATCGAGTCACTAGGCGCGTCATCTTAATCAGCATCGGTTGTGGCCTCTGGTACGAGCACTCGCTCTCGAATGGCGAGCAGTACGGCCATCGACATCAGGAACCGCAAAGCCACATTTTCCCACGGCGGCACTAAGCGACTGAACACCTCCACGCAGCAGCAGGTCGGTCGCGCAGTCGCTGCGGACATTTCGCTACCTATCAAACCTGAAATAACAGTGAGGCTGCGTGGTACATGTGTTGTCCTTCGCAGTCAGCCAGAGAGACCCTCTTTAGCGTAAGAGCGAACCCCGCTGTTCGTGAACTTCACCAGCAATTTAGATTCTCAGCGAGCCTTTCACTTACTTTCTACGCGTCCTAGCAGCATACGACCCAGCGCATAAGTTCTTGAGCCACTCACCAATTGCATCGGCAATACACGACTACACATAGTCGTCATGCCTCCGACTACTACCAATACCACAATTCTGGGACGCGGTTCCATATATGAGCGTTCCGTTCGTCATCAGCCTCAAAGCCCGCTCCTGCGGCTACCTGCCGAGCTTCGTCTGGAAATCTGCAGCAACATGTCGCTTTCACCGACGACGGTCGACTGGAATGGCGCATTCTTCTCGTGTCTCCAACTGCACAACGACATGCTGACAAAGCTACATTCCAAGCAGGAGGCTATCAAATACATGAAAGTCCCCTCATGTCTGAACTTTCGGGGTGCGCATCCGGTCTTTGGCTGGATCCGCAATATGTACCTCATTATCGAGCTCAACCTTGGATGGCGCGATCACCTGCACGCTTTCAAGAAGCTATACACACTACATCTCGATGATCTCCAGTTTCTGCTTATAGGAGAACCCAGGCTCGGCGAACGATATCCGGGGATTGCGACGCCGTATGGGGACTTGACGACTTTGGGTCCACCGGGGCTAGCTACTCCGAGTGGTCAATTGGAACCCGCCGGTACAAACGTGGTCATCAACTGCAAAAAGATCACCCTCACTCTAGACCACCTGGCCAACGTCGAAGGCGCTCGCGATAAGCAGACCTGCTACGAAGTAGCTTTCCAAGGGACAGACATCATGTACCTTTTCACTGTTGTCCAAAATAAGCAGGGCCAGCAAGTCGAGCGTTCATACACACTCGATACACGCTTCGAGATGCCAACGCCTCTGCCTCCGCAGGACGAGGAGGAGGACGAGTACGACAAGTGTGCCAACAAGCGCGGTGACGACACCTGCGGCGACTGCGCGGAAGGAATTGATGAGCTCCAGCAAACTCTGTGCGCTATTCTGTAGGTGTCCTGACCTCCCAGGCCAATGAGACACATCGTTGGACATGTATCTCCATTCTTTCACAACAGTGCAACTCGAGCATCTTCTTAATTGAACATAGTGAGTTTCATGGATACCCAGATGGACATCATCGATACTGATTAGACTAGACGATCGAGTCCATCCCTTCCCAATCAATCTCTACTGTTCCCTCATTTACTTTCCCCAGATCCCCATAACTCCTGTACCACCTAGTTCGTTTGCACTTAGGCCTCACCCGGTCCGAAATTTTGATACCCCTCCGTATCAAGAATATGATGATAATACGTTCCCAACGTCATATCTTGGGTTGACCAAGCGTTGAAATATGCTTGCATATTGGCACTACCACATATTCTCTTCTGCTAGCGGACGCTTTGATACTGCTGAAAGGTGCGGGTGCCGTTAATCGAAGGCTCGTTGATGTGGGTGCGGACAGCGACATCATAAGGCCGTCAGTACGTTGGAAGACGGGTTGTACGTGCCGAAAGACTCGACGACGTAGTATTCAACGAGTGGTGTCGAGGTAGCCGTTTTCTCGGGGGACAAAGAGCCGACGTAGCCAGGTGTCACAATCAATTACCACAGGTGACTTGGAAGCGAACATATTACACAATTGAAGGCTGAAGCCAGGTTCGGATGTAAGTTCAAGCAGAAGTATCCATAGGACGCAGGGTGTTCGGGGAGTTCAGAAAGTGCGAAGGCCCGACGCGGTGCCGCCGCCTGCACTTTTCTGATACTCAAATATGTTACGTAGTGCAACTGCGCAATCTCCTCCAATGCAGGTTACGTTATTCTAATGCAGTGTCGTGCAGGCAGTCATATCTTATAGCAGGTCGATTGCTTGCACGCCCTGCCTTGCACCCATTCAAGGAGTAGCATAAGCGCATGCGGCATGCTCCTTGAGCAGAAAGTGAGTGCGGGCGTCTTACAAGGCTTCTTATACTGTCGTCTGAAGTCATAGGGGTCGCAAACTTTAATATCAAGCACTCAGATTGTTTTAGCAACAGTCTAGTTCGGTAAGGCGAAGGATGCTCGAGTGTCGCTCAGAACCGGTTGTTTCCGTGGATCCATGGAATGTGGCCTTTTTAGGCAGCCACATAAAATTCGTCATTTTGATGTCTTGCTCCCTCAAGTGCACTACTACGAGTGTATGCCTTCTGGAGCGTTTTGGTCAGGCCATCAAATAAGTATGAACTTTCTGACTTTCGAGTATCGCATCCAGTCAACCTGATAATATCTCATCCTATTCTCTGGAAACCTGGCTATCCCGACCCTTCTATACTGAGGGGTTGTCTTTGCCATTTTCGAGTGTGATTTCTGTTGGACCTGCGTCAAGACCAACGCAACTTGAGGGTGAATGAGCAACAAAGTGAGTTCGCTTTTGTAAGGAAGATGTCGCGATCCTGGTGCGGAGAGGGAGTAGTCCGCGTAGAATTCCATCTCGATGTCTTGATTGTCGTTGCTGACAACGGCGAGCTTGTAGCGCATCGGAAGGTCATAGTGGAGGATGGCAGCAGTCATTGAGGCTTCGCCTGAAAGTACTGCGGTTTTCACGTTGCCATATGGATTACTACTCATCAGTTTGACATTAACACAATTTTCCGCGATGTTGCGTGCAAGGCAGGTCGTCCTCGCGAAGGGTCTAGTAGAGTCCAATTGGCTTTGGTTGATGCTGATGTACGCATATTCTGTTGGTAGGTCTCTACCAAAAAGCTGCGCCGCATCGAAGAAGTTGATAATGTCAGTCCAGTAATGTACACCTCGATCATTCGATACCCATGACCATGATGGTCCGTGGTATGATGCTGCTTCATTGTGTTGGATCGAATCAGAGTGCAGACGGTCGACCCGCCACATGAGATCAAAACAGAATGAATCATACCACAAGCCTGCTAAAAACATACCGCGAATGGGTTGCACAAGGGTGCAAATGCCGGAAAGAGCAGGAAGCCGATCACTTCGTTTTGTGAGCTGGAGGGCAGAGTAGGTTTCGATAACTCTGTGGAAGTGAAAGACGTAGTCTGCACACTCCCTTGTACTAGTCAGATCCAATTCCATTTCTTGTGGGCTGATTGCGGCTGGGATCAGCGCCAAGTTTTCGTACTCTATCACCCACGAAGGGATGTTGAACGCGGTCCGTAGATATTCAGCGCCTGATTGATGGGATATGAAGCCGATCGAACCGGGTAGATAATCTAGCTCGTGCTCTTTTCTGTTGTTCTCAAGCTTTTTGTGCGTTTTACGAGCAAGGGCTATCCAACGTTGAGTCACCTGATGTTCCTGAGCCCTCCGTATGTCATAGATTTGATTGAGTCGAACTTGACGATCGGCGATGATGCCTTTTTCAGCATCACCCGAATCCATCGCTTGACGAAACTCTCTGCCTGGGCTTGAGTGATGGCCGACTCCGCCGCATTCGCACGCTACAAGACTCCTACACTCCCACACCATTTCGCTTTTGGCGAAATGCAACAGTCGCCGCGAAAGGAGTCGCTCCTGGTATGCCCAGCCTCTTGTCAATAGGGGAAACTGTGCGTCCATACCTGCTGGAGGCACATCGTGCCAATGGATTAGAGATTTGCGTACAGCAACCCGAGGATATTCAATGTCGTCGGAAAGCTCGACAAGGACATCCTCAGACACCCGATTCTCTGCATCATAGCATCCGTGTATATCACCTGAAGAAGTGGTAGCTGAGAGTGCAATAGATGCGTTCTGGTAGATCCCGGCCATCTTGGCGGACTCAGTGTCCCAATCCTCCAAGTCATCCTGTATGATGCAAAGTGAATCGATCCAGATGAATTCGTAGTTGAGCAACAACGCCATTCTGATAGCATCCTGGAATGTCCTTGGAATCGTCTGCCAGATGATTCCGTTGAGCCTAGCCTTGAAGGAAGCTTTGGTCGTCAAGCATGATCGATTATGTCCCCAGCAGTGCGAAAGTGCAGCGTATGGAGCTGAAGAGCCGCTCGGAGGCTCAAGTAATTGAACCTTGTACGTTTCATTGCGATGGTCTCTACCAATCGCCAGCACACGTTTCGGTAGCAGTGGCTCAGAGCTCATCTCGCATTTCTCGTGGTTGCTCTCGCAGTCGGCAAGAAGCGATTTCACCCATCGCAAGGCCTCAGACGACTCGGGATGATGACTCACACGCGTCCTTGGCAGTATAGCTTCCCAAGCTAAGCATTCTAGTCAGAAATCAAGCGGACACATCCAGTCGTCTCTAGATGGAGGGAGTATACATACCTTGCGAGTGGGGGCTGTATAACTCCAACAATAGTTTAGGTCTCTCATCCTCGAAATACGCCTCAAGAGTAAGTGTATCTTGATGCAATCCTCGAGTCCCGCAGCACCGAGCATAGACCCTTCTGATGTCGTCTAGCATGTCCTTCTCAAACTGTCGCAACGCCTCCAGAATGACCAGACATAAGGGGCAGCCTTTTTCGGATGCCGAGATGTGAAGTTCCGCGGGAGTGAAGTCAAAACCGAGTCGAGCATCATCCTCGTCCCTCTTTTGAAGGTTATTGCAAAGTCCGCAACGGTGCGCGGTTTCGATGGGAGAATGCTCCGATCCATCACTGACGGTGGATACCACGGGAGAGTCCATTGTTTGCAGTGCGGCTATCTGGGCGTGACCGGGCTCTGAGACAACATCATGAGAGTCTGTAGCTCGCGATATACCAGCCGTAGTTCCGCTAGGCCTCGACTCAGGATGTGGCGGGGATGAAGTCGCAACCGAGTCGAGCGCGGGTCCATTCTTCTTTCTGGATTTTGTCGCAGCGCTGCGCAAAATGGAACGTATATCGTTCCACCTCATGTCTAAGAATTGCGAAAACGCTCCTCGTTATTGGTGTAGGCAGCATTCGATGTTGCAACCATGTTGAGTGACGATAGAGAAAGTGGGGTCTCAGCTGCAGTTGGCTGCAGCCATGTGCATTGGCTGCATGCGCAAGGCCTGACGCCGCACTGTGCTTACATTGGCTCTTGTCGGGGCAGGCGCGACTGCGCCCCGATACAGGAGAGTCTCGGCGACGATGTGAGATTGTTTGGGTGGCTGGTGGGAACCTCTGGAAACCTGTACGCTTGAGTGGTGAATACTCGTTAGCAGATGTGAAGATTGATCAGAGACGCATCAGCTCGCTCTACACAGGGTCTAGACGAACATACTCATAGACGAAAGGGTAAACTTGGTAAAACAGCCAGGTATGTGAAATCGTTAATCTTGCACAATACTCGTACACATCTTCAATCTATTTCTCCTCAGGTTGTTGCATATTGGCCAACGCCTCCCTCACAGCCTTGACCACTTCCCTCACCTGCCTCCTCTCCACCGCGCCTTCGTCAATCTGCACCTTCCCCTGCTCCTTACTCCTAATGATCATTCTGACCAAATCCTCTGTAGTTTTGAGCGTGCGTCTCCCTTCCTCCCTAACCGTGCCTTGCCAGCTCTCTCTTGCGCCTTCCCAGAGCTTCTGCATGCGGCGCAGCGAGAAAGTGAGACCGAGTGCTGCCACGGCGCTGGCTTCGAAGACGGAGCAGCTGGATGAGACGTAGAGAAGTGCTGAGAGTGCGCTGGAGAGGGAGGTTGTGGACATTGTCTGGAGGATGAGTTGCTGGGCGAGCGCCTGGAGTGGTGGGACGTTCGCGTCGATGACTTCCTGACGGGCCGTTGCTATGTTCCCGGACCACGGCTGTAATTTCCTTACTTCAGTGGAGAGGTTTGTGGGCTGGTTGTCGAGCGTCGGTGCTGTTTCTGTTGTCGTCACAGGGATCTCGTTTTGTACAACGACTTGTTGTAGGTCTTCGGGGAAACCAGCTTGTGCCATCCTACCGGCGAGGAAGATGCTGCTCTTTTCCGCGCTGATCAGCCAGCGCCGTTCGATGATCTCTTGCGAGAGCATTGTCACGTCGTCGACGCGCCAGAACAGCTTCCACCATGATAGCTTGTACCAGTTGCGTGCTGAGAAGGCTTCGTCGAGTTCGTCGCGGAGCTCGGTGTGGCTTTTCTCAGCCCACGCATCCAGAGCACTCGTGATTGCTGCTGTAGCCTCGCGGTCAGTGGGTATTGATGCGAGGAGGGTGAGGCGCGCTGTCTCTAGCTTGAGAAGCTTTGCTTCAACGTCATCCACGATGGAGGTTACAAGGGTCCTCATCGCAGGCTTGAGTGGTTCGGCAGGTTGTAGGTCGGCGGCGAGCCACTGTGAGAGCGAGGGCAGACCGCTCCTGAACCAGCCACGCTCGAAGATCTGTGAATTTGCCACGGACTCGCGGAAGCTTGCCAGAGCCTGCGTGCCAGTTTCAATGTTGACCACTGCGCACTCAGCTTGCGCGTCTGCATCCACCTCTTTTTGCGGCGCAGGCAGGTCTACAGCAACCTTGACCATGGTGCGCATATTCTCAGCACTGCCCGAGCTGAACCTTCCAAATGCGAGCGCGCTATCAAGTCCCTCACCAAGTATCAGTGTCTTGTGCACAGGGTACGGTACCGGCGTTCCTCTCGCAGAGGTAGCTTGCAACTTCGGTACCAGCACTGACTCCTCTGAGCTCTCCGTTGAAGCCGTCGTAATCATCTTCGCCGTGTTGACGTTCAGCGTCGAGATCAGGACCTCCAGGTTATGCGCTCGCAGGACCCTCGAGGGCGCGTAAAGGACTTTGTACAGTGGCGTCGGTCGGTGCACATCGTTCTCGTCGCCGAATCTGCATGGTATCAGCCTGCTCGTCCGTATCACAATCAATGTGACGCGCTCACTTCAGCAGCACTGCTCTCTCGTTCCCGTCTCCAGCTTTCTCGAGCTCTTGCTCCCATACTTCTTCATTGCCTAACGGATCCGCAAGGAGCAGGCGCGCAAGTCGCTGCGCACTGACTTGACTATTCAGGCCGAGTACTGTGCCTTTGTCAGCTATGCTCAACCACATCTTCAGAAGTAAAACCCACTGGCAACTCTGGTGACGGCATCTTGCGCCGCCAGCCCACCAAGCGCCAATTGCAGCCTGCTTATATTGACATAAGTCTCTGCAGCTCCGCTCAAAGCTGACAAAGCGTTGTACAGCTCCTTATTCCGTGGTGGGATGTTGGGGCGCAAGTTTATGGCGGTGGGCGAGACATGTGTTGATGCGGAGCGCCGGAGGTTCAATGAGCGTGTTGTTGCATGACTGCAACGAAGGACGGCCGGAAGGCGCTCAATTACTCCTTCCCTGGTCAGCGACGTCAATCGCGGCGCAAAGGCCACCCATGGAGGCATCGGGCTGAGAGATGTGCATTGCTGTGGGGAAGAGTCGCCATGCTGAAGTTCATAGTGGCACGGTTGATCTCCGGGCCGCTAAAGCTTGGGCCTGTTCACGCTGAGGTCACTCGAGATGGAGGCAAACAGCGCTTGCATGACTTAAACAAGACAAAATGATTGTACAGCCTGGAGGCAGACAGAGTGTTGACATCGAAAGAATGCAAGTGATGATATGATTTCAATGAAAGGCCAGCTCTCCAAGAGCACAGCATTTGGCTAGCAAATTACTACCGTTCATCGTAAAGTCGTTTCCTCTAGGTCTCGCCGCTGGTACGCCCAACGCCAGCATGGTAAGTAGACAACACTAATATCCACACCACATCGAACAGAGAGAACCAGCGAACCAAGCTTATTCGCTCAGCCTCAGAAGCTTCTTTGGCACCTAGCCTCTCCTTGATCCAGAAGACCTATGGTTGTTAGTATAGTAATCACCGAAGGTAGTCAGTGGTTCTCAGCAAGCCTCTTGTAACTCGAGACAGCCCCTGGTGGCTACATATGACAAGGTGACTTACATGCTGATTCTTCGAGCAACACGGCCGAGCTCCTTATCGTTCTCGGCCTCCTTGGTAGCCTTCTCGAGAGCCTGCTCTCGGTGGACCTCCTGGGACTTGCGAACCTCCTCGTGGCTGGGCGGCAGGCGTTCGTTCTGCAAGTCAACCTTGCGGGCATCTTCGAAGCTGTGGATAGCCTGCTTGATACCTTCCGCGCCAAGCATGAGCGTACCCGCCGGCAGGCGACCTCCAGACGCTGTCTTCAATTCAGTGACACGCTCAGACTCTTCACGCAACACTTGGAATACGCGGGAGAGTCGACCAATGGCCAAGATCTTGTTCTTGATTGCGCGGCGCTTGAATTCGGTCGAGTCGGGGTCGAGGTTGGCAAGCGGTTGTGGGGAAGATGGCCCGGAAGCCAGTGAGCTGGGGGTCTCCTCCTCGAGCTCCTCCTTAGAACATGTGTTCAAGATAGCGATGAGCATGTCCGTGACTGAGTAGTGTTAGCTCCTGATCACCCGGTAGATTGAGTGCACTTACTCTTCTCTCCAACAAAAGGCAGCGACCATGTGAAGACATCCATAAAGTTAGGCAGCCAGTACGGGTGAGGTGTGCAGTTAAACTGCCTGATGTTCATGACGTTATTCTCGTACTTAAGGACCGCAGCCTTGTTGTTGTATACGTCGAGGTAGTTGGGCGCGCTGAAGATGGTCATGACACTGGGGAAACCAGTAGTCCTTGTTTTCCTATACATTCGGTATCCAGCATCTTGCGCTTCGTGCGCGCGGATGATTGAGAGAAGGTTGTTCTTTTCGAGGAAGGCGCATGCAGCGGGGTACGAGAAGAAGTATGAGCAACCGCGAACGTGGTTGTGGATGAAGAAGTCGTTCGTCTTTTCCTGGCCGAATTCTTCGAGAGGGTCAGCCCAGAGAATGTCGCACATGAGGCCGTGTGTGGGCGGTTCGCGGAATCGATCAATCTGCGAATGTCAGCTAGGGTCATGTTTTCAGACATGTTGCCACATACGCTCTTCAAGTCGTCGAGTGTATGAAGCTCGGGGCTCAGTCCTCCGTGTATGCACAAGAACTGCTTGTTCATGACGGCGGCGAGGGGAAGCGCGCAGAAGGCGTCCATGCAGGCTTCGTAGACAGCCTCGGAGTACTTGTGCTTGCATTCGAGCTTGAATGTGAAGTAATCGGTCAAATGGCGACACTCGTGGTTACCACGGAGCAGCCAGAGTGTGTTAGGGTACCAGATCTTCAGCGACCACAGATACAAAACGCACTGCTGGTGTTAGCACATACCCATTATCCATTGTTGCCTTGCTTACCTCAATACTGAAGTATCCGCGATCCACGTAGTCACCCAAGAAGAGGTAGCGTGTCTCTGCTGGATCTCCACCAACTTCGAAGAGCTTCATCAAGTCGTAGTATTGTCCGTGGACATCACCGCACACTGTGATGGGTGCGTCCATCTCAAGGAGGTTGGGCTCTGACCTCAGAATCTCAGCACCCTTCTTGATGATCCAAAGTGCCTGTTGTTCAGTCAAGCGACCTTCGCGGTAGAAGTGTTGCTTCAGGAATGTGATGTTCGGCTTTGTGCGATCCTGGGGCGAGAAGAACTGTTCGTCGGTGGGCGGGAGGAAGGCTGGCGCTTGCACGTCTGAAAGTCACAGCGTAGTCAGCACTATGTTACTGCATCTCATCGTTGCATTGGAGCTACTGCTAGCTATACAGCTTGCAGAGCCATAGCGTCGAGCATACCTTTGCATACTCGCTCCTGAGTGCTCACTTGTGTGCCGTCTTCCATGGTGTGCAGGGTGAAGTCGATCTCGGGAATGGGCTTCTTCTGCTGGACTGCGCGAATGGCATTGTCCATGTACGAATGCTGGTCGACATCTTGCGGGTTATTCTCCATGGCGGGCAGACGGTGCTGAGCTGTTTACCAGGAGCTGTGGGCGTTGGAGGATTGTCGAGGAGAGCCGCGAGGCGGTGATAGTGGGGCGGAGAGGCGCACGACCCTGAAGTGGCGACGGGGGCGTGGAACGACGGCCGAGGCTCGTGGCTTATGAGAGCTGACCCGCGACAAAAGAATATGTGTGTGAGGTGTGGAATGTGTCGCCTATTTCGTCGCGTGCTCGCGGTGCGTTCTGCGTTGCTAGCTGACATCGCACAAGGCAGGCGTCGAGCTGAGGGGGAAGCTTGCCAAGACGGGCCAGCCGCAGTAGACACACAGATGACAGCATGTTCGAGGTCGAGCTGTTTGCATGCCATTGCTCTATCCAGCCGCATGAGCTTGTTTCAGTGATCTTCAGGAGGTGGTTGTCTCGATATAATCATTCTGTAAGCCGATCATCACACATTTTGTGTTTTGATCACGACACCCTAGTTCCTGAGGAGGTGATGTATCATGTTAGAGCTTTAGGCTGCAGCTAAATATTTCAGACATCTACCATCACTGCCATACTGCATTGATCTCTCCGGGATTGATTCGGGAGCGCAGTAAGCGCTGGTCAGTGTCTTGTAGCAGCCAGCTTCCCCGTCTGAACAGTCTGATCAGTTTGCGCATCATGCTGTGTCACCATGCAGTTGGAAGCTCTGTGTCATTTCCATTTGGCAAAACAACAATCGGTCTGGCACATTCGAGAAATGCTTACGAACGTTGCGCTTTTTCTTGCATGCAGATCTAGTAGGCATTACTGAAGTACAGTCACGTTACTTGTGAGTGAGGCTTTGGCGACTCGCGAGGCAAACGCGCGGCACCATCAACGCGCTTCAGGAAGGATGTCAGTTTCACAAACAAGTCAGGAAAGGCGCAGATGGAAGTGGATGTATCGTGATTTTGATATATAACTGTACCACGATGGTACGTATGTGAGTGTCGAGATCATCACAGAGCTCTACGAAACAAAGAGGGCACACCAGCCATCAAGGCGTGGTATGAACGAAGAAGAATATGCAACAAGAATGACAACAAGAATGAACGTGTGTCCAAGAAGCCCGAGCTAACCAGCAAGGGAGCCAATCCGAAGGTTGAAACCGACCCAAAGGTATAAACAAGCAGACCCAACCACACCATTTCCAAACCCTAACCAGGGCGGGTATAACCAAGCCAACTCCATGCGATGCGTTTCTTGACCATCACAGCGAAAAATGTTGTAAGCAAAGGACGATCATCAAGCGATGGGTGTCATCGCGCTCAGAGGAGACGAAGGCCAGAGCCGTGGCGCCTGTGAAGGTGCGCACGAGGGAAAGAGCGCTTGGCAGCGGCAGCGACGATGGTGCCGTCAGTGCAGGCCATGCCGGCGGCGAGCGCCTGAGTAACAGCACAGCCCCGGTTGCAGAGACCGAAAGAGCTGGTGCCAATGCAGACGACAGCACCGTCATTGGTGCAGGGAGTGCAGTCCTCGCTGGTAGCGGGAGTGCTTGGGGCGGCGGAGGCGACAGGAGTAGCAGACGCAACAGGCATGGTAGCAGCGGGCGCAGAGGACGCGGGCGCAGAGGAAGCACCAGGAGCGAAGACGCCGGGAACGGAGACAACGGCAGAGGGAGCGGCTGAAGCAATGGGAGCAGCAGAGTAGCCGGGAGCTGAGGAGGCAGCTGGGGCGGAGACAGCAGGAGCAGATGCAGCAGCTGAGGTGGCAGCGGGTGCAGAAGAACCAGCACCGGCACCGCCAGTTGGAGTGCCAATTTTTCCGTTGCCAGCACCCATCTTGGTCATGGAAGCGCAGCCAGCACCAGAAAGATCGTTACCGAGGTCAGCACTGGCACCATCAACGAGGGACTGGCCAGGGTCGGGATAGTTGAAGTCCTCGTTCTCCTTGGTGCTGCAAGAAGTGTCGGGAAGGTTGGCGACGAACATGTCGGGAAGAGCGCCGAGGGCAGAGGCGGCGTTGGCGGCTGAAGCAGTGGCGCCAGAGTCGCCAACCTGGACAGGAGCGCAGTTCATGTAGAACTCGCGATTGCCGACCTTGTTTAACCAAGTCCAAGCAAAAGTGTACAAGCCATCGGGCATGGATGTGGGCATGGTAACGGGGAAGATAGCGGCATTGTGACCGTTGGGGTCCTCGGGCTCGATGTTGCCACTGACGTTCGATGGGCAGCCTCCGACAACGCTGTGGATGACCTTCCATTGAGAAGCCTCTGTAGGGTTAGAGTCGGTGGTGAGGGAGAACTGGCAAGAGCCACCGCCGTGAACAGCAGACCCAGTGAAGGATACATCCTTAGTCTCGCCAGCGTTCCACTGGTTCATCGTAGTGACATCGTAGACACCAGAGCGCTGCTTGCAAGGCCAGTCACCAGGGGCGAGGGGAGAACTGTTGAGCGTGGCCTTGCCATATGGGACAGGGTAGTTGAGGGTCATGTGCGCGGTTGCGCTGGCAACAAGTGCCAGAATGGCGGTAGCCTTGGAGAACATTTTGTTGTATGAGAGTGTGTGTTTGAGAAGTCTTTTGTTTCTGAAGATCGCTAGACCGGCTAAACGATTCTTTTGGTGCTTGTAATGACTGTGTAGTGCAAGGTTGATCGAATGCTGGGCGTAGTCAGTAAAGCTGTTCTATCGAGATTGAACCATGAGGGGCAGAACAAATACTGAGCATGAACAGGAGGTCGGTGTGTACAAGAGGTGTCGATCTACGAGGAGCCGAATTCCCAAAACCATTCCGAAACAGGGGAGTGAATACATACCAAGAAGTCTTGAATGCTGTAGGACAGGTGAGTACTTCTGTGAGACTAGCTCTTCGATAATCAACGTTCAGTTGAGAAAGAATGTGATATCTGCCACAGGCAAGATACGTAAAAGAAGATGAAGTTGAAGAAACTACTGTGATGAACCGGTAATGTGGAACATGGAGAGCGCTCCTGGAACCTATATATCCTGATACCCACCTTTTTAGGCGGGCTGGCCTGTGGCGGTCTGTACACACGTACAGCGTCGTGTGCAGCCCGGCAAGGGAACCAGCGGCTGGTGCCACAGCGGACCATGGTCGAAGTGTATATGCTAATCGACTAGGGATGGCCTCTCATGCGGCGGTTGATTGAAGGGGCCTTCCGGATCCGACGCCTGTCCTGGTTTAGCGGCAGCGTAACAGCAAGCAGATTATGAAGACGGCTTAGGTTCTGCGACGCTGGGCAGGTACATGACCAAGCTCATTGGCTCCAAAGCTCTCAGATGGTAATTGTTTCTGAAACAAAGAGTGGACGACGACTCAAGTGGCGGGGCGTGGGTGGCTGTCGCCTCCTGTCGTCTGCCAGTGATCCTTGTCCTTAACGTCCGGGCCCTGCGTGAGGTCGAATCCGGGCCTATCGATAAGGGGCATCAGGCCGAGTGAGGTCTGGTGTGGAGCGCGATCGCTTCGAAGCTAATTCTCAAACACCTCTTTCCGCAACTTGATTCGTCAAGCTGCTCATTTCAACGCACACAGCTCTCGCGCTCACCACCAGTCGATGACGAACCAAGTCAACTCTCGCGACACAGGTGGTGCCTGGGCTGTCGTACAAACCGTGTTTGCCGCCGTGTTTGTGACGCAAGCGTAAAGCTGGCCGCTCAGGTCCGGCAGAAAGACGCTGTGTCACGGCTCGCAGCTTGCGAAGCCTGTGGGCCTGCTGCAGGGGGACGCATGGCGGGTGTGGTGATGCTTTGTGCACCGCCCCTCGGCGTGTGATCCTTATTTTTGGCTGCCATCTATTTTGCCCTCATTCATGCGAGGGTAGACTATTGATTGCCCCGGATAGCTGAAAGTCCCGCCTCTGCGCAAGGTCTAGAGGAAAGTCAAAATAGACGGCATGTAGATCAGCAGCGGCAGTGAGTTGGCGCGGGTGGCTGCGCCGCAGCGTGGACGATGATAGCCTGGGCGCTCGGGCAAAGCTGGAGTCGACCGCTGGAGCGGCTGATTGGCCTCCATGTACCGCCGCTAGCATCGTCACCTTGTTTCATCAAAAACAACGCGGCGTGAAGGTCGTGATGATGATTGACCACGGCGACGACCAGACTGGGCGGCGGCGCGCCCCGCCATCAAAGCTTGTCTCTGATTGCGGTGGGTTCAGGCAGACGACCAGCGGGGACTGACGTGCTGCGGGAAACGAAACATCTGGTTTCCACCACAGCACGCCGAGCGTTGCTGCCAACGAACTCGTGGGTTTGCGGAAGGATGCAAAACACAGTGGACATATGCATCGTGACGGTGATTGTCACGACGGTGTCGAGATCGGGAGCATCATGCAGGAGGACTTACGATGACGAGCTCTCTCGTGTACGGCGTGCCTGCCTGACCAGCGAACTCCCAGGCCTTGGCTTTCGCGAAACCAAACATGTCAGCACTTGATTTTTTTTTCATCTCCACTTCCTGGAAGCCTCAAGAAGTCACACCTTCCTCTTCTGCAACCTCGCTGACCCCCGGCCTTTCACAGTGGAGATTGTCTTCCACCATCCCAAGCTACCCTGCCGTGAGGCGAATGACAGCCACGCCCGCATCCGCGACGGGCGGCAGGACGGGAGATGGCCGCTCGACACCTGAACTGAGTTCTCAGAGTTCATCTCCGATCGCCCAGTCACAAGGCAGGCTCGAGAGGTGTCGGTGACATGTGCTGTGCTTGAACAAATTTACCGGACCCTATCTGCACATCAGTCCAACGAAGACAACCACTCTGATGAGCAGCGGGCGACGGGGATTGTGCTGGACGGGAATAAAGAAGAGCTTCGTGTCAAAGCGTTGATGGTGCAAGAGGGCGAGTAGACGGACAAGTTGCGAGTGTGAATGATGATTGAATGCTGTGCTGCTAACGATCACACTGCAGAGCCTTTGCGGAAAGACTTCAGCTTCTGGTCGAGCCAGGTGGATTTCGCTCTGGCCCTGACAAATGGCGTCTTCTCTACACCAATGTGTACTCGACCATCACCGCCGCCGATGTAACTCCCATACCCATAGCGCGCATCCAAGTCTCGAAGATACTTCGCACGGCCCTGTCTGTTCAAGTGCGAGGTACCTTTCATATCCTGCACGGCGGCAGTCGCGGCGAACAGACTAATGATTGACGCAATGGAAGTGGGCATCCGTGCAAGGTACCGCCCAGGCCGGCGCAGATACACCATTATCGCGACAAAGACGTAGGTGAAAAGGATGCCTTCGGAGATGGCGAACATGGGTGTGGAGAGGAAGAGACGTCGTTCCGTCGTTATTGTCCAGCCTTGAATCGAGCGCCGGGGCTGATCACTCCGCGTGACCAGCAGCTTCTCTTTATTGGCACCGAGCCAAATTGCAAATAATCTCGAGTACGCCTTGCCAAGCGACTTCTCGACGTCTTCGAGAGTGGGTGCACCGGTATTGGGATCGAGCAGCCGACTGTTGTTGGCTTCCCGCGAGGCAAAGTAGTTCAGCGGATCGTTGGCATAGCTATCGTTGTGCCAATTTCCACCGCTGGACTTGAAAATGTAACGGTTACTCTGACCGATGAGATTCGCAACATCATTGCTGAACATCTCGCTAATGTCCTCTTCTTTGGACAACTCGACGTCGCTAATCTCCCGCTGAAGTCGACCGCTCAAATCGGTGCGAACAGTTGCCTGACCTGTCACGAACCTGGGCCGACATCGTACGAACAATGAGTTTTGCGCGTTCAAGTCGGTATCTTGGAAATCACCACAGGACCCATTGGCAGTCCTAAGCCAGCCCATCACAACCGTGGTCATGCAGGCATCTTCCTCGCCCCGCGTGGCATTCGCAGGGGCATCCAGAACGAACATGATCTCAGCCGCACTAGGGCCTCGTTGACATTGTTTTTCGATCGATATAGGCGCGGGCATTGCGGGACCGTAGAGGATGCTTGCGGACCCGTTCGCAGGACACACGGTGGTATTGGAGTTTGCGCGTGCGGTGACATTGAAATCGACTCGCATATCGGACCAACCGTTCTTTCGAATCCGGGCCGAGTAATCGATGCCATATTGCAACGTCTCACAGTCCAATTCGGCACCAAAGGCTGTGGTCGCAGCTTCGTACTGGTTGTCGACAGTTGAGTTGACCGGATCAGCAGCCTTGTAGGGCAAGTAGAACATCTTCGTATCCGTCCAAGCGGGGAGTGGCGTTCCTCTAGTCCAGTTCGACTCAGCGATGAGAAATTGGTCCTGAGAGTTACCACCACGGTATGCGCCCGAGGGCTCACGGGAGCCGAATTCCTGGCCGCTTTTGGGTCCAATGCTGCCATTGATTGAGACAAACTTCATGTCGAATGGCGGAGTGAACGTGGCGTCGCGTTGCATTTCGATGAAGTCTTGGTTGAAGATACCCGCGAAAGCAACTGCCAGAAGATTAGAGAGAAGTGCCATGGCACACACAGTCGCGAGTACGAAGTGCTTCGAACTCAGGGCCTTGAATATTGTGAGTTGTGGCGGCAAAGAGCTATAGTTGAGATCGATGGAGTCTTTTGCCTCGGCTTTGCAGCTTCGCAGCTCTTCGATCGGTTGCAACATGCAAAGCAGTCGATTGATCATGATCCACATGGGCTCTATGAGTGTCGCCAAGGCGGTCGGGATGTAGTTCTCGAGAATGTTTTGCACCAGTTTGATGGTGGAGGGCAAAGGCAATCCATTCGCACGAGCTCGGACGAAGATGACAGCAAGAGCTATGCTCAGGGCAATGAACAAGCTAACAAATGGTACTGCGGTCCACATGCGGAACTCTTTCGGTCTAACGGGTTTCGCGATGTCGCGTGATGTACCCTGACGCTGCAATTCTGTTGCTGATCGCTGGGCAGCGAAGATGGCATCAGCAGCTGAGTCGACAGTCTCGATGCCGGCGCGCTGTCCGTCGTGCACCAAACGATACCGTCGTGCGCCCAATGCTTTCTGGACTTCTGGGGCCGTGCAGCAATCGAGATTCTCGAAGTCGACCAGCAAAGGCTCGTTATCTGCCACAAGACTCATGATGCTGGCAATGGTACTCGGGTCCGTCCTTAAATTCCTGGTGCGTGTGACCGAGAGGTAAAGCAGCATGATGGTTGCAAGAGAGATGACACCCAAAAGACCCTCGGAAACGTACGTAAAGACCGGCTCCAGTACGACCGCTTCGGTAGTATACCGCTGGATACCCACCATGTCCTCGGATGACTGGAAATCGTCTCCCAGGATATCGACCATTGTCCGAGAGAACATCAATCGATAAGCATCGGCATATGATTTGCTCAAGATCTTCCAGTCGAGGAAGTCTTCGAGCGAGAGTTGGTTGAGAGCAAGTGACAGTCCAACCATAGGCTGCACTAGACCGACGCCAGTTGGACCCGAGCCGATGCTGACGTTAGTTCCTGTGACGTATTCCAAGTAGTCCGGGACAGACGCTGTAGGCATGTTGTCGCCTCTGACGTTGAATCCGGATGAACCTGTGGTCATCTGGGCTTCCCAGTTCGTCGCATTGAACAGGTCCTTGGAGAGAGGTTTCTTATCTCCCAGAGCCGCAATGTGGAGTGGTTCCTTTGAGACGTGATCTATCGTTGCGTTTACCTTCTGTTGATAGTAGAAAGGCTCGCAAAATATTGCGGTCACGTTTTCGGGAGGATCTTGATCCCTGGCTTTGTTCTTGGTGAATGCCGCATAAAACGTGCCGTTGCGCTCTGTGGGACAATCGCCTTCCAAGTAGAAGTCGGCGAAACCGGTGTAGCCCCAGTAACCGATATGCATACCCGTGTACTGCTTGGCAGTAAGGAGTGGCGAGTAGATGGTGTTCGGATTGGAGCCTTGGGTGATATTTCCGGTGAGACCCATGGTGACATTGCAACCGCCACTGCTCTTGTAGGTGACACTCTTCGATTTGCCGTTGGTATCTCGGATTGCAAAGCTCGGCGCGCAATACATGTCTAGACTATACATGGTTGTCTCACCAGTCCAGGTCCCTTGGCTCCCGGCCAGGTCTACGTCATGTACAGATGGCTTGAATGGGGCCAGTGTGAAGTTTCGAGCCATGTAGGGAGGCAAAGTCTCGTTGAGCGTGGCAATACCGTATGTAGACTGAGCGTAACGTATAGTGAGCTTGGTCAGCTGATCTTCGGCTGGCATGAACGAGGTTGATCGGTTGAAAGGCGTGCTTGACGTGCGAGTGATGGTCTCAACAGCGAAGATGCCGGCTTGTGTAGGCACCAGTCCCCAGGTTACTAGCAGCACTGCCAAAGATCCCCAGAAAACTGGCCAATGACTGGACCGGTCAGCATGTGCCATTGCAGGATCGAAGCCACTTTGGTGAAGTCAAGCTGTAGGTGCACTTACCGTTCTTTGGCCGCCTTGATCGGAACTAGAGGGATGAAGTCGAACGGATATGCCAGAAGTAGCGAGTCCTTGCCCAGAGCCCCTTTCTCCTTGCTCAACTGGTAGTACGGTTCCATTCGCTTCGTCTCCAAATCGATCCAAGCCCAGTATATGCTGAACAGGACTGCAAGTATGGTTGGAAGATACAGATACAGGAACTGCTGGTGCAGGGGCAATGCACTAAGTCTTGCGGCAAAGATGACACCCCCATCGCGCTGACTTCTGGACAGGAACACCTGAAGGACAGCAATCAGGGCCCAGCACAGCAGGATGGTCGCAATCAAGATGGGTGATCGAAGCGCTGGAGGTTTCCAAGCCTTGGTCGCTGCTCAACATCAGCCTACCGTGCGACATGCCTTAGAGGGAATGCAAATACCTTTCCGACCATCGCCCTGCGATGATACGGAAACTATGTCCACATTGACCGACTTCACACTGTCTTCATGGCTGTGTCGTGTAACTGACGAGACTTGATTCATCGTGGCAGCCTTGGAAATTAAAGCAAAAACGCAACGAAAGGAAAGAAGACGACAGCGAGTAGAGGCCTGAGACTGCACAGCATCACAAGCACGTCGGCGCATACTTAACAGCATAACAGCATGTGTGTAACCGCCGACCCAGCAGTCTAGCCGCCGCAGCGCCGCACGCACCAATCAAACCCTTGGCCCTCGAGTCCTAGCCCACCAGCCAGCAGAACAACCACTGCATTGGACCCCGAGCCGCGCCCGCCTTTGGAAAAGTGGCATGGATCAATGTGTAAATTTGGCTTGCAGTCTTGCAGGCTTGCAGGCTTGCAGTCTTGCAGTCTTGCAGTCTTGCAGTCTTGCAGTCTTGCAGTCTTGCAGGCTTGCAG